TCCAGATACTGGGGATTAGGACTTCGACGTATGAAATAGGTAGAGACACGATGTAACCCATGACAAATACCTTCTGAGAAAATAAAAGGCATTCTCCTTTGGAGCATGTTGTGGCAACACCTTCCCAACTGCTACAAGTCACAGACACTTATTTAAAGCCATACCATTTTCTTAATGTTAGAGTAACTGAATTTCAAAAGAAATCAGAAGAGAAATTCAAAGAACCATCATGTTATAATGATTTAACTGGCAGGATATCTTGATCCAAGCAAGCTTTCAGTTTGAGATTGACAAGAAAGTTTCTACTAATTTAACTTTTAAATGTTGGAAACAATACAATCCTTTTGAAGGAAAGCCTAAGATGCAAAGAGCTTAACTTTGGCCTGTGAAACATTTGCTCAGAATAGTCCTGGGGCCTTCAATATTTCAGGTCTGAACTTCCCTCAAAACTAGTTCTGAACATATGGGTTAAAGGCAGGCACTAAAAGGACTGGATGAGCCATGGCCTCTGAAATTACATGGAAACTGGTACGGAAGGGTGCAGGACACCCAGAGGAGAGTAAAGGCCTACTTTTGAGATGTCAAAAAGAACTTAGACACAAGAATTGAAAGTACATTTCTGGAAAAGTATTCAGCATTAAAAAGGATCTCTGACATACAAAGTTCAAAAACCACAGATCTAAATTCCAAAGCCCTGGATTTGGATAACACTTAATTTGATTTCCAGCTCATTCATGGGTCAAAGAATTACAGAAGTTCTTTCTGTAGGACCTAAGCATCAGGGATCAACCCTTTTCACCATGATGTGAGGATTAACAAATTGACAGCAATGCACTGGGATACAATGAAAACAACCGACTAATGAATGCCACTATTGATTTCTCCTACTCATGCTAGTCTCCTTGGATTAAAAAAAAAAAAAAAAAAGTGTTACTTTAAAAAGTAAAGGTGGAGCCAGGCACGGTGGCATGTGCCTATAGCCCCAGCTACCTGGGAGGCTGAGGTGGAAGGATTGCTTGAGCCCAGAAGTTCATGGCCAGCCCAGGAACATAGCAAGACCCATCTCTAAAAAAGTAAATAAATAAAAGGTGGAAGAATGGGTATCCAGGAAAAAAAATACCATTCATGGAACTCCTACCAAGTGCCATATGCCTGGCACTGTGCTCTTATCTGCTCTGCCTCTTTTAATTTAGTCACACAAGGACTTTCTGAAGGTCACGCAGTAGAAGAGGTAAGAACGGAAGCAAGTTTGCAGCTTTAGTTTACAGCACCATTAGTCTATGATGCCAAATGCAAATGATCAAGTGATAATGGCACTTCTCAGATTTCAGGGCCTGCAAGGGTATCTCTGAAATGCGACCATTGACAGCACTGAGCTCGTCATCACTGGAAAACGCTTCTAAAATATCCTGAGTTTTGAGGCAGCAACGTGCCCCGGAGTGGACAGATTCCTGCGAAATCCCACTTTAGCCCTGGGGAAGTGATCTCACGCCTCCAACCGCAGATTCCTCAGCAACTGCATGGGGGTAAGGGAGCACCCAGCTCCCTGGGTGGTAGTGAGGACGGCGTGAAACGATGGATGAAAGTGTTCAGCTTACAGAAAATGCTCTGGTACTAGCATTTTCCTCGCCGCTCCTCCACCTCAACATCCTTTACCTAAAAAGGTAGAGTTTTATTGTGGTGGCAGTTTTTGCTTTTGCCCTGGTGAAGTCATCCGTCTCAGAGACTAGAAATCGCTTTTTCTGCCAGTTATATTCTTCCCCGGCACACAGCTAAGGATTAAGCTACTCAGGAAAAGAGCCTGAATTCTTGTTTTTGTCTTGCTTTGCTGTTGTTGCTTGTGATGTTTCTAATAAGAAAGTGTTTTTATGTCCTCTGATGAAACTGTATCGTGAAATGTGTGGTGTTGTAATGCACTGATTATTAGCAAGAACGAAGGACGACCGAAAAGCTTGCAAGTGTGGATTTCAGGGTCTCTGCCCCAGAAAAGCAGACTGCATAGGGCTGGGGCAGAGACCAGGAGTCTGTGGTTCTAACAGGCACCCCCAGTGGACGCTGAGTGCAGGCGGTTCTCACCGCACAGTGACACACATTGTTGTCATCAACTCACAATGCTGACCTCCTGGAATATCACTTCCTAAAGGCCATAGCTTTTGTTAAAAAAATAACATGACATATCAGCACTAAGTATAAAGGACAAAAGCACTCAAAACATTAAAAACTGGTAATATCTCATATTCTAAGTCACATAAATCTGCAGTCCCCAACCCCTGGGGCCCAGGCCTGTTAGGAACTGGACCGTGGACCTTCCCCTCCCCTACCCATGCCGGTCCGTGGAAAAACTGTCTTCCACGAAATCAGTCCCCGGTGCCGAAAAGGTTGGTGACCACTGGCATAGATCACACTTTAACATCTATTTGTGTCTTAGTCAAACAAAACGTTAACAGTCACTACATAAATGTTAATATATTCTACAGTTAACGTGCTCCGAAAGCATTTTGAACCCTTCCGTTGTTAAATATAACCATCCACATTTCCTAGGTGCTAAACATGCATTTCGACCGTCTGCCTCCCTGGCCCAGAAGGTGGAGCCGAGGAACCGGCGGGAGGCAGGACAGCAAGGCAATGGCCTTCTTGCTAAAGGACGCTGGAGAGGAGAGTAGGAGTCTTCAAGAGAAAAGAGCTCTGGGCAGAGTTCCGAAGGATGCTGCGCCCACCTAGCAGGTGGCAACACCCTTTCCTTCTCTTCTGAGCTCTCCCCCCCACCCCCCCACCCCCCGTGTATGTGAGGAAGACACAGACAGACACCGGGGAGAAGAAAAACACTGCCCAGCTGCCACCTAATCTTGGAGACCTACACAGAAAGCTGGAAGAAGATGCCTCCCGGGACTGCCTACTCACCTCCTGCTTATCAAGAAGAGCCTCGACAGAACCATGACCAAAACCCTTCCCTGTCCCGTTAGGGAACCAGGGACCGAAACCCAGGAGAAATCAACTCCCTGGGTGTGCCGAAGGTGACACGTTTGGGCTCTGCTTATAATCAGGGCGTGTGTGGCTTTAGCGGGCATCATAAAGAAGGGAAGGCACTAGAAGTGCCGGCAAGGGTGGGGATGAGATGGAGGCGCCATGGCGACTTTTAATTACCCAAAAAGCAACTCTCCACCACCTCTCGGGAAACATCTGAAGAAGAAAACATGAAAATCATTTGGCTTCAGAAAGTCTCCCCGGGCTTGTTTTCAATGTGACAGAGAGCTGCAATGCAAGGCACGCCCTCTTCCAAACAGCCCTGCAGACGGTCACCTCCAGGAACCACGTGTTTGAGTGGCATCCCAGCCGGCTCTGCTTCCACACACATACATCTCTGAACCTCCTCCCAGCATGCCAATAATATGAATTCCCTTAAATCACATGCAAAGAGAGATGTCTATGAGTGCTAAAAAGCACCCAGATCTAGGATTTGTTTAAAACCAAGAATAACCAATTTGTGCTTGGGGAGGGCTCTGTGCAACCCCTTTGCCACCCAACTCAACCTACCTCCAATACTACCCTCTCCCTACCCTTCCCTCTCACGCCCCATACATGGTGACAGGCTGGGGCACTTACTTTCCTTTACAAATTATATTCACTTCTCCGTGTTTAGAAAAGAAATGAAATATCAAGTTTGATAAGCATGCAGGACTAACTCATTAGCAACAAATAATAACAGCTAGTACTTGTGGAGCACTTATTACCTGCCATTCTGCCAAGCACTGTGCATGCATTATTCTCCTTAAATCCTTACAACAATCCCAGGAACTAGATACTATTATCACCTTCATTTTCCAGATGAGGAAATCAAGTCCCTGAGAGATTAAGTAACTTGCTCAACATCACACAGCCACTATGCAGCAAAGCAGAACTGGACTCCAGGTTGCCTGGCTTGAGAGTCAAAGGCGCAATGACTGAATTGCTTAAGAGATGCAGTTAGTTTCCCTGAACTTCTGGTTCAGGCTAATAGGGCACTCTCTCTCCATGGGAGCTCCAGCAGCCACAGTGCAGAGCAGACACCTGCCACAAGAAGGCCGTCCACACCCGCCAGCACACAACGAGCACACTCCAGGCAGTACTCAGTCTCAGGATGCCTGAGAGCCAGGGAATGTTGACCACAGGTAAACTTCCCAGGGAAGGGGAAGTTTGTCAGTACTGGCCTGACAAAATGGTGTGGCTTATTTTTTTTTTTTTTTAAATAAAGGGGAGAGATTACACGGAAAGAGATTATATGAGTATCATGCTGAGATTTAAGGATCTTGGTGCCAGCATCGCTGATCTTGAACAGGCAGCTCAAATAAGCTTAACACGTGGGTTTCATTGAAAGAGTCAACCTGTTGCCAAGTAAAGTGTCTCAAAGAATTGGAATGTTGTCAAACTAGCTTAACACCATGAAATGGCGTAACTTAATGAGAGACTCTGTAAGTCTTGAGGAACACAACACACGGCTCTCTCCAAAGACTGCGATTTTGCAAGTGGTCTGGTGTCTTTTCTGGACACCTGCACACATTGGTAGGAAAAATGTTGCAACTAAAAGTTGATTTTTTTTTTCTATTTGAGTAAAACTTCTTCCATGCCAATTCCTTGTGTGTCATTATATGAAGTTTTCTTAAGTAAAAAAAAAACTTCTCAAACAGCTGATACAATCATGCTACATAGTCAGTTTCTTTTAAACATCTACCCAATCTCCTGGAGATATAAACATACATTCTTGAGCACGGAAGTGCTCACGTTAAAGCAAAATGAAGCCGAGCCAGGGATGCAGTACTGAACCTAAAAGATAGGGAGGCTGCATTGATTCTTGTAAATCAGCAAGGGCCTGGATCCAGGACACTGGACATGGTGAAGGGAATAAGAAGGAAGGGAGGGAACAGTGGAAAGAAAGTGAAAAAAGCAGAAAAGCTGTGACTGAAAAGATAAGAAAGACAAAGTCAGCAAGATTTGATCCTGGGAAAAGCGTGACAGCTACTCACCTGTCTACTGCTTCTACATCAAAGCAAAACCTCTTCTCAATAGAGTCTGTTTTCCGCCGTGTGCAGGATTTGAGGGTGACTGATTCATCTTCTCCCTGGTGGGAACACACAGACTGTCAGGAAGAAGCCAGAATGTGGACTTGCTCTGCTCCTCTCCAGGACAAACACGGCACGTAAACAAGAACAATCATTTCAACCTCTCGAATCTGAGTGTTCACGACGACGTGAGGCAGAAGGTTGATCATAAACCTTTGCAGGCACGAGCCTCGTGCAGCTAAACTTTGCAGGCATGAGCCTCGTGCAGCTAAACTTTGCCAACCATTTCAATTCTTAGAACCAAACAGCTTCAGTACCAGTGTGTCATGATGGAATAGCATCAGTCCATGGTAGATAAATTCTTATTGATATGTTTTAAACAGGCTTAATTTGTAGGTCTGATAAGAGTTGAAGAAGATGGTCTCCTCCGAACTCTGAGCTTCTGTGATCTTGGGTCAGTCATTTCTTCAAGAAAACCTTCTTGAACCAGGTCAACTATCCCCAAGATGTATTCGCATAGCACCATGTACCTCTCCTTCCCTCACAGCCCTGATCACGGCTGAAACTGTCGGTTGATATAGGTGATAATTAAAATAATGTCACTCTCCCCATTCGACTATAAGCCCCCTGAGGAAAGTGACTGTGTCTGGTTTTGTTTACTCTGTGTCTCCTGAGCCCAACAGTGTTCCTGGAATACAGCAGGCACTCAATAAATGTTTTGACAGCGTTACTGACATACATGTTGCAAATGTACAATTTATGAATTCTGACATCTGTGTACACCCATGAAAACATCGCCAACAAACATTTCCACCACGCCCAAAAGCTTCCTCGTGTACCTTGGTAATCCGTCTCCCTAGTCCACCCCAGGTAACAGGGGATCTGCCTTCTATCTCTCACTATAGATTAGTTTGCATATTCTGTAATTTTATATAAGGAAACCACGCAATATGTGCTCTTTTTTAGTCTGGCTTCTTTCCCTCAGCATAATTATTCTACGATTCATCCATGTTGCTGTGCACATCAAGAGTTTACTTCTTTTTATTGCCGAGTAGTATTCTGCTGTACAAATAGAATGCAACAATTTCATCTCAGAGCACTAATTTATTGCCTGGAAACATAAGATGTGCTGTCCCTGATTTCTTTTCTCTTTCTGTCACTTAAGAATTTGTTAGGGTTTCTGTTTCTCCTGCCTCTGCCAATCCTTTTATTCTAAATTAGGGGGGAAATGAGCAAGCTTGCCTACCTTGTTGAAATAATAGGAAATGTGACTACAGAAGGTAAAATTTAACCACCCATTAACATCACAATAGTACACAAAACACAGAAGACCTAGGAAGAGACAGTTTATATTCACAAGCCTTACAACTATTGTCTTTTACTGAATAGCAAAGATTAATTTCTCAGATTGAGAACTGTTCTTTCTTCAGTTTGTACAACGTATGCGTGTAAACACCCAAACTTAAGGCACTCTGACCTTGGCGATTTCTACATATGTTTTGGATTTAATGGCTACGGACCAGCTTCCACGTTGAAAGCTTATGTGCGGGGTCGCAGAGAAACGGGAGGGAACGGGGACCTATAAGAGGATCATCAAATATAAGCAGAAAAAAGAGGAAGATGAAATTCTGTTCCAACGATAACCACACCAAATCAGAACAAAAAATCTATAAAGGTGATCCATTCAACTACTGACGGTTTGAAAACATGGGAGACATAGATAATCACCACTTAAATAAATGAAAAGCTATAACCATGACAAACATTATGGAAAAAGAAAAAGAGCCAGGCTGTGCTACACAAGCCTAAATTCGGGGGCTCTGACCAGGTTTGCAAGGTTAGGAAAAGCTTTCTTGAGCTGGGATTAAAAGGATTCACGGGCGATCAGCAAGGAGAAAGGAGCAGGGGGTGGAGCAGAGCAGGTGGGAAGGCCCTGCGGTCAGGGTCTGCAGAGTCCTGGAGGGCAGAAGAGCAGCCGGTGTGGCTGGATGCCCAGAGTGAGAGGGAAAGCAGAATGAGAAAGGGCAGGAGGGAGGGCAGGATCCTGCTCTGTATCCTGAGATCAGCGGGAAAATAAAGAAGGGTTTCAAGCAAGGGAAGGGAAAGGATCCACCAGGATGCTGCAGATCTGCAGAGAGGAGCTTCATCTCGGAAGGCAGCATGCAGGAAAACCCTTCCATCCCACAGGTGGTCCAATCCCGGAGAGGACATAGCAAATCTGCTCCTAACTCCAGGCCTGAAGCTAGGAGAACAGTGGGTACTTTCCAAGGAAAATAATCCAAATGAAAGGGACAGTGAGGGAGCAGAAAGGGTGGAGAAAAAGCATGTCAGGAAAAGAACACACCCTATTATCTATGTTAATAGGCATCTAAGTTATCTATGTTCCATCTACCTCCAGCTCCTACGAGCTTTGTTCAAACACATACGCAAAGACATCACACGCTTCCTCTGCACAAATCGAGAAGGCAACACCTCTAGACAGGCAGTCCTCATGCTTCCTCCACTATACAACCCAGGAAGCAGTTATGTCATGGAAAGACACGGTTTCAGAATCAGGAGATTCAGATCCCAGAATGAGGGTTTGAGTTCCAGCTGCACAACTCATTCGTTATATGACCTTAGAAATCATTTTCTCTCGCTAAACCTTCATTTCCTCCTTTGTAAAAGAAGGAAAATTGGATCAAACAGCATAAGGACGTAGAAAAGCATGAAACACAATATAAATGTAAGGAATTACTAATTACTATAATGTTAAGGTCCTACTATAGCATTCATTATGTGTCAGGCTCCATCAAACCTCCTAACAACCCAACGAGGTGTTTACTATCATCTCAGTAAGGTCTGCAGAGTCCCAAGCATCCAACACAATTGGTCTCCACCCTTCACTTTCAAGTGTGATGAAAAAGGAACACAGAAAATACAAAAGATTTCTTCATTAAAAAGTTTAGGAAAGCACAAGATAAAAGGCCCCAAAATAGACTATGTGAGCGAACAGTTCAGGCAAGCCGACTTCTAGGACTAAGAGTTGGAAAAGGACTAAGACTCGATCCAAGGAAAACAGGCCTCTGTTTCCATATCACAAAAACTAGGGGACACCTACTAATGCAGGTTTTTAATATTCCTTCTCCCTGTAAATTCTCTGTTATGATATTTTAACATGTCTGTTTTCCTGAGATTATTTATAAGTCAACTCCGCCCCCTGCCAAGAAACATGAAAAGGGCTTTGTTATTGCTTTGCTACAGGGAAGGAACAGAGATGCTGATAAACATCGCTATTGTGGCTTAAGCAAAAGAAAGCCAGGAAGAGAAATTGGAAGAAGAAGAGAGCGTGGGGCGCAGCATGGCCGAGTAGCTAACAGCGATGACAACGGCACCTCACATCACCGAGCCGGGCACCGTGGTATCAAAGCCAGTGCTCTAACCTCTCCACTAGACCACCCACACATGCAAACTCAACATGCTGCACAAAATGCACCACAGAGAGGACCAGGGCTGGGATGCTTACAGAGGACTAATCTAACAACACATTAGACACAACTAAAAAATTACGGAAACTAAAGATAGGACCAGAGAAATTATTCAGAATGTAGTCCAGAGATTTAAAGAGATGAGAAATGTAAATATTTTTTTTTATTAAAAACACTTAAATATCTCCAGAAGGAGATAACAGCGAGAAGGGGGGCAGAATCAAATTCAAACTGATAATTAGCAAGAATTTTCCAGAGTTATCAAGAGAGATCAAACCTCATATCCAAGAAGGCCAACTATTCCCAAGCAGATGGAGGAGAAAAAAAAAATTCAAACTAGGACTATCATAACAGAATGAAGAATATCAAAGGAAGAAAAGAAGTATTAGGAGCAGCCAAGGAGAAAAGACAGATCCGCTCCGCAGGAAATGCACCTGGCCTGCTATGGGAGCACCCAGAGGAGACTGACAGGCAGGAGGGAGAAGCAACAGCTCTATGGAGGGAGGAACTTCGAGTGTTCAAGGAGCTGCCCAACAGCAGTGACGCTGGGAGCCCGACATGCCCTGCTGCCCCTTCCAAAGACGGCCCACGTGCTCTTCCTACAATGAGACTGATACCCTTCCCATCAAGAGGCGGGGTTACATCCTCTCCCACTGAACCTGGCTGGGCGTTTGTGACCTCTAACCAACAGGTAGGGCAAAAGTAAGCTTATGTAATTTCTGAGATGAGGTCATCAAGATACCATGCAGTGTCTGCTTTAGTTGCTGGAACATTCACTCCTGAAACCGTTAGCTGCCCCGAGGCCACCATGCTGTGAGGAAGCCCAAACTAGCCCACGTGGACAGATGGGATGGACAGGCCTGAGACTATGCAGAGAAAAAGGGAGAGAAGAGGGGAGAGGAGGAGAGAGGAGACCAGGAGAGAAGGAGAGGGCTATACCAGGCCAGGCTTGAGCTGTTTCAGACCTTCATGGTTCCAGCTCCAGCCACATCCAGCTGGAACCTCAGGAGAAACGAACCCCAAGCCTGAACCACCCATCCAAATGCTCCCTGAATTCCTCTCCCACAGAAACGATGGGAAATACTAAAATGAATGTTGCTGTTTTGAATGTCGCTAAGTTTTGGGGTGACTTGTTACACAGCAATAGGGCACTGTAACATCTAAACTGCCGACTGGCAGCTCTCCAGGTTATCTAGTGAGAGTGACGTGAATCGGTTTCTCAGGATGAGGTCGTCCAAGAACTTTTAGCATTTATTTAATAAAAACAGTTGACATACTTGATATCATATATATGTGAAATACAAGGGTCTTTCTTGATTGCAGTTCCTAATAGAGCTAAGAATAATCATCTTGTTTTAGTTATTCTTCAGGGTAACTATGTTTCCTGGAACCATTGCTTGTAATTAAGAAAATTATAGCGAAACACTGGAGGTGTTACTTTATATAAGGCATTATCATCAGTACATGTTAGCCAAGTAAATCAAGCACGAAACTTAAAAAATGAACTCACCCCCTTTCCTCCTGACTTTTGGTCAAATGGCACCATAGTGATTTGTTTGGAATCCCGCTGATAGGTGCAGTAGTGCTTCACCCAAGAAGTCCCAAAGTGACCTGCAAGGTAATGTTTCCTATGAAACAACCATGTATGTCCACCCCATGCTGCACGTCATTCACTGGAGAAACACACAAGTCCCAACTCGCAATGCTCATCCACCCTTAAACCATCTTAGGGGCGATATATTCTCTGCACCAGCTGGACTGGAACAGACAGAAATCTGATTCCACAGGCTGGAAATGGAACAAACCCAGGGCTCTCCCCCCAGGGACCAAAGAAGACTGTTTCCCACTAACGCTACATCCAGTGGATCTCAAAATATAAGGGAAGCCGAGGTTCCCTGGGGAAATTAATTCACATTCCCAACATCAATCTCCACTTGAAGTTTCCGTTCTCTTCCCTGACAGGAGTAAGATGACTGAGGAAAGAACGCAGAAAGGCTCCTCCAAGGGCCTGTCACCGTCCCCATCTGGCGCGAAGACCTCACGCTTCCCACACAGCTGCTCCGTGGCCGCGCACAGACAGCGAGGGGTTCTGACCTACTTTCAAACCCCGGATTTCTGCTTCAGTAGAACTCAAGGAGATCTGAACAGCAGACAAGGAAACCTCAGGGACACCAGAGATACAGGATGGAAGTGACTTTCAACACCCAAATGTCATCTAAGGAGTATGTCCCTCAAATTTATCCCTCAGGAAAGTGTGAGACGCCACACAGTCAAGTTCTGATGAAGTCTCTGACTTTACTCAGTGCTCGCCAATTGTTTTATTTTGAATAAAAATGTACTGTTAGAAGAAGAGGGCATCATTAGTCCACAAGGACCTCAATCAATACTCAGTGTTAGATGCTTATAGAGATCACACCATCACCACTAAAAATGTCACCTGCCATTTCTTTCTTTGACATCTTCTGCAGGGCAATAGGTCTTCTTCCCGACTCTCCAAGTTTCATAAAATTCAAGCATTGGAGTGAAAGAAATTGAGAAGAGGGAAAGGGCCTAGGTCATGATTGTTTGGAATCACCAAATGTTAAGTCTACCAAAGGATAGGACTGTTGATAGACAGTAAGGTCTAGCATGCAAGACCTTTCCAAGGTGTCTATGCTCAGGGTATGGTCTATAAAGCTGTGCTAGGGGCATGGCATCCTCAGGAATAGAGTAACGCCAGGGAGAGAAGAGCCACCACAGAGCCTCAAGGCATTTCAGGATCGCAAGGGAATTCCCAGTCATAAAGGACATAATGGTAGACAAGACACTGTGGACATCATCTTTCCCTTTGGAGAAACTGAACTGTGAAAATTACTCTCATTCACTCAAACATGCACGTACAACCCCCAGGCACTAGTGGATACACACTCCACCTTCTGGGCAAAAGGCCTGAGCACATCCCCAGCTGCTGCCCGTGAGAGCACTTACGTTTCTCCTGCACGTAGAGGTATCCTTCCATGGTGTAGGGGCTGATGGTCTTGTGCTCCAGGGGATTCTCCTTCATCTTTTTCATCAGTGATTCCACCTCTGACCTGGTGCCTTCAAAGCGATTTCTCGTCTAGGATGAAAGGAACTTTATTCAAATAAAAGAAATGAAATCTCTGTCTAATAATTCAGAAGATCAACCTAATAGAATCCTTACAAATTGGGCGCGGTGGCTCACGCCTGTAATCCCAGCACTCTGGGAGGCCGGGGCGGGCGGATCGCTCAAGGTCAGGAGTTCGAAACCAGTCTGAGCAAGACCCTGTCTCTACTAAAAATAAAAACAAATTAATTGGCCAACTAAAAATATATAGAAAAAATTAGCTGGGCATGGTGGCACATGCCTGTAGTCCCAGCTACTCGGGAGGCTAAGGCAGGAGGATTGCTTGAGCCCAGGAGTTTGAGGTTGGACACCACAGCACTCTAGCCTGGGGTAACAAAGTGAGACTCTGTCTTAAAAAAAAAAAAAAAAAAAAAAATATCCTTATATATCTAAAACCCAGGAAGGGACATTCCTCTAGGAATTGGGTCCTTCATATACAAGACAACAACTTGGATCCTAAAGTCCTCTACTAGAATGACTCTCAAACTCGAGTCACCATCAAAATCACCTAGGGAATCTTGGAGAAAATGCATATGTCCAATTTAAGTATCCCTGGACCCCAAAAATGTGCATTTTAAATAAGCATTCTGATTCAGACAGTGCGGAGGTTTGTACGCCTTCAGGACTAAGGTACTCATTTCTCCAGCTGCAGGAACACTGCTCACTGGTGGCCTGCAGATGTCCCTCCTTAAAAGGGAGCCGCCTCACTCGAGGGTACTCCTTTCCGAGGGCAGCCTGCACCCAATGAGTAGCCAAGGCTAGGAGCAAAGGGGGAAGGGGTCAAAGCCTGGCCCCTTTGCTTATATACAGGACCCCTCTGAACCATGAGGCCAGCTCCAGAGCGCCCCCTGCTGCATCTGCGTCACAGCTCAGCTTCTCCCTCCCGCCCTCCAGCTGCCCTCACGCTGTCAGCGGTGTTTCTGCCCGCATCAGCCCCGAGTACACCTGCTGCATGTCAACCTCCAATTCCGAGTCTGTTTTCTGAAGAATTCGGCCTAAGGGGAACCACGCTCAGTGAAACCTTCTCCAGGATTCTGCCCTTTGAGATGACACAGAGAACCATGCAAGCTCCAGGCTTCTAAAAGCCACGCAGCAGACACGCTAGGTTTTATTTCCCACGCAAGATCGCCTGGGGACAAAGAAGACTAACGTGGTCCCATCTCACAGCAAAGAAGAGGGCTTGAGCCCCAGGAACTGCTAACCACAGAGCCCTAAGAGCAGGATTCCGTGCACCAGAAGGTTCTGTGTTTAAAACCTGGGAATGAAGACTGGGAGTGAACCGCACTGACTTGGATTTCCTGTCCGCCTTCCCAAGAGCTGGACGAGAGCACATCCTCTGAGCCAGGGGCCAGCCTGTGTCTCCCACCCTCATCCCCTGAGCACACGCCCCAAGGCCTGTGGCTGGGCAGCTAGATGCACAGAAGGGAGGCTGGGCTGGGCTTTCTACCGCCAACGGAAATCCTGCCTCTGGCGCTGCAGATTTGAAACCTAAGCAGCAGCAGCACTTCCGAAAACATAAATAGCACAGCAGAATAATGGGGAAGAGGGTGACGGCCTAACCTGGGGCCACCAAGTACTCTAGGAATGCCTGCCCCTTCCCCCCGGCTGCCCTCTGAACCCTAGCAGGACCCCCCCTCCTCACCTACATTCCAAGCCACATAGGTGGTTTCTACGGCAACCAGGCCCCTGTTTCGCCCTCTCCCTTTCCTTGACCAGAGAGAGGAAGGACACCCCTTCGCCCACTCACGTTCTGTATGCTGATGGTCAGCTGTGTCTTGAAGTCGCCGAAATCCTTGGCCAGTTCATAACCGTGGTGATAGAAAGTGAAGAGTCCTTGCAGGAAGGCCAGCAGCTGTAACGCAGGGGGAAAGGCAGGCGTCACATAAACAGGCTGCGAGGAGGAACATGAGGCCGTGTACCTGAGTTCCCAGCGCTGCTTTGGGCGTCGGGAATAAACATCAAATCCTGACGGCTAACATTTATACAGAGCGCCACTCGTGTGCCACGCGCTGTGTGCCCTTCCACGCCCCGTCTCGCCGAGTACTCGCAGCACCCTACGACCTCAATACTACCACTACCCTCATTCCACTAGGGACGAAGCAGGTGCAGGAAGGTTAAGAAGCTGGCCCCCAAACACAAAGTGGCAGCCAGGATTTGAAACCGGGTCTCCTCGGCGGCCACCAAAACCCACGCTCTTACCCCGTGAGCCCCACCATCTCCTGAGAACACCATTTCTTCAAAAACTAAAGACCAGGACTCCAACTCGGGCTCCTTCTAGAGCATGTGCCGTGTGTCAGGTCACATGCAGAAGAGGGAGAGAAGGAAGCGAGGTGTCCTGAGTCTGCAGTTTAACAGGCGAAGTCAAATCAAAGAAAATCACCCAGGTTAGACTTCAGCTACAGCACGCTTCTGTGCTTTCCCTAAACTGTCCAAAAGTAAACACTACAGAGTCCTTTATTAAAACATTGCCATGTTCACACATTTTCACACATGATGGTTTCCCCACATTCTCCTTTAATTAAGTCCCCTTGGGCTAAAAGGTGAGCCCATTTATTGTTTAGTCTCGACTTTAGTGAACAGGGAAAACATCTGCTCACCACCATCCTCACCCTATACCCTCATAGACTTAAAAACTATCAGTGTCCCCACCCTGAGCCCCTGCCACCCTTCGTTTCTCCAAGCTAAATAAACAAGCTCCTGTGGTCTTCCCTCTCAGAGGTTCCGTCCAACCCTCACTGTTGTCATGCTGCGCCAGCCCCTTCCCAGGGCCTACACATCTCCCATCAATTTCCAACTTCCACCTAGAGGAGAGGACGATGACGAAAGTCCGAACGAGGCTCGGAAGGGCTGGCGCAGCACCTCCACGCCCAGCCCAGCTCTGCCACGTCCAAGGACCATCTCTGTCCCGACTTCAACTCCTCAAGGCCCACTCTCGTTTTCTCAGTGGTACACTCTGACTTCCCCGGCCTGGCCCCACCACGTGCTGCACTGAGACACCCTGGCGTGGCTCCATGTTGCTGTATTCGGTTTCTCGGTCCCTACGTGAACTTACCTGCACTCATTAAACGTAATCCCATCCCCCCTGCGCACACCTAACTCTCCTTTTCCGAGAGGTGGCCCTAACCACGACGGTAAACGAATCTCATCCCACCCACCACCCCCGCGCTCCTGCCCGGCCTGCCGCACAGAGGTGTGGTGTGCTGCTCCGTCTGGGCTGAGAGCAGGACCCAGACTTCGGGCCATGCCATGTGCCCAGCCCAGCCAAGCCTGGCCAAGGAGCTCTGCACTGGGAAGTCAGACAAAACCCAGATGATGGCAGTATGGCGCTTGGACTTCCCACTGCCATTGTCCCCAGCCCATCTACCCCCTTAGATTCCCACGGGAGGTGGGAGAGCGGGCACTGCTGAGTCCTCTGGCAGTAAAGCCCTCCAGCGGCACCATGTACAGATCCCAACGTACATCAGTGGATGAGTGGTAAGTCACATACGGTCACAGAGACTGGTCACGGACTCTCTTCCTCGGAGATGGCCAAAGCCTTTGGACTTAGTCTATATAAAATACTTTTTTTCCCCCCGAGAGGAAAGCCCATCCTTTTGCTTCTAGATGGCTCCAGTGATAGAGGAGAAGGGGCTCCGGTGCCAAACCTGGTCCCGGGATTCACAGTGAAAACTGTGCTTTCCCTCTTCTCGTCCCTGCCCTCCTCCCTGCTGTCCCCAAACACGGGGCCCCTGCACTTTTCCACGGCACTCGGCCACCCCCACTTCAGAGTCATGCAGACGGCAAGCAGCTAATTCTAAGGTCATTCCCCCCATTAGCTCTGATGTATTCAGTGGCGCCTCTCTCACTCAGGGTCATTAAATATTCCCCAACAGCTCACCAAAGTGCCACCCGGGCATGCAGGCGAGTGCTCCAAAGGCAGAGTTAATAACATTTATTTTGGCTTTCACTTCCTTTGGTGTCATGCCTTGATTGCCCGTTTTCCTACGGGAAATGACTCCTTAGACGCTGTTACTTTGGCCCACTTCTTCCCCCTTCCTTCTCTCATCTGCCCCCTTTCTATGCCCTCCCACCCTACACATGAACCTTTGGACCTGTTACGAAGTGGGAAGTGAACACCCACCCCTCGGGGGCCAGAGACCCCAGAGATGGGAGGATCTGTCTGCTTCAAAGAAACACTCCCACTCACACTCACGCAGGGAGAGCTTGCTGTGGTCCCTCCTGGTTATCACACAGGAGGGGGCAGCCGTCCACTGAGCCACCACAAAATCACAGTCTGATAAAGGAAAGACCTTCCTTGCCTCCCTCTACCTTCTTCCCCATCAGCAAAACCTATTCCTACTTCCTATTTGTTTTTAATTTTATAAAGCAAAAGTGTCACTGGCTGCATCATTCTGAACTATCTGAGGAATCCAGATGGTCACCATTCGTAGAACAGAACTGCTTTTAGGGATTGAATTGTGTCCCCCTAAAAAAGACATGTAGAAGTCCTAACTCCCAGGAGCTCAGAATGGGACTAAATTTGGAAATGGGGTCTCTACATGGGAAATCAAGTTAAATGAGGACACTGGGTGAGCCCTAGTCCTTTTATAAGGATACCATGACTGATGTCTTTAGAAAAAGGGAAAATCCGGACACAGAGACAGACATGCACAGCCACATGAGGATGGAGGACGGGAGTGATGCATCTATAAGCCAAAGAATGGCAACTGTTGCCAGAAAAGGCAGGGTCCTTTCCCTTTAGGTTTCAGAGATCCCTGCAAAAAACTCGGTTTCAGACTTCTCGCCTTTAAAATTGCAAAGCATTAAGTTTTTGTTGTTCTGAGATGCCCAGTTCGTGGTGCTTTGTCACCGCAGCCCTAAAAAACTAATACAGCTACCAAGAATCATTCACTCGGGCAACAAAGAGAAAGTCAACCAGCAGGGCGACGAAAAGCCAACCTGGGGAAGGCACGTAACTCCCTCTAACTCATCTTTAACAGGAAGGTCACAGCAGCACCTGTTACTACACGGGGCTGGAGTGAAGGTTGATTCAGAGCGTCCATGTGACGGGCTTGGCACAGCAGCGCTGTCAGGAGAGATATATATTATCAGGCAAGAGAGACATATATTGTCAGGCTGATGTGCATGTGTCACGGTCCAGGGCAAGCTGGAGGAGGGGGAAGCCCAGGACAGGATGCAAAGACCAAAGGAAAACATGGGACAGACACGGCACCAGGAAGCATGCAGGAGGCTAGACTCAGAGGATGCAGTGCCTGATGACCCTGGAGAGCGAGTTCTCGGCAGTACCAGCTAACCTTCAATTACGGAACCTCAGGGAACAGAGGGAACGTGGCCTCACCTTCATGAAGTCAGTATGTCATTATCTGCAATCCAAATCTCAAGAACATTTGGTACCGCAGCAAGAAAATAAAGGCTTCCGGCACAAAAATATACATACATGGTTTAGATCCCAGAAATTGGATTTTTCTTCCTTGGAACACCAAAACTTTGTTTATTTTTCTGAAGGTCAATAATATTCTGGAACTTGAAGTTACTTTCTAAGAAACAAATGAATATGGCCAATGTGCACGGAGGTTCCCTGAATGGCTAGAAGATTCTCCAGACTGCAAACAACTCAAAACAGGAATACCCATACCTAGGTACCCCAGCAATTTAGTTCAATAGATTTCTTGATGGTTTCCTTCCCACCTGTAAGCAATCAAATGCTGTTTCACAGAGATCAAGTTCCAGACTCTTCCAGCTCTGCTATTTACTAGATAGGCCCCTGGATAAGTAAATGCACACAAACATGTGTCTCCATTTCTTTATCTGAAACTAGAGATAAAGACAGTACCTACCCACAGAGATGTTATAAGGACTGAATGACCTAATGCACACAAAGCATTTAGCACAGCCCACGACACGGTTTCAGCGAATATCATCAATTGCTATTTCGTATTCTTCCTTTGTAGAGTGTAGGCCAGTGGCTCAAACTGTAACGTGCAGCTAAATCACCTGGAGGTCTTCCTAAAATACAGCTCCTGGGCCCCACCCTTAAATTTCAGGTCTACGGTGGAGCCTGAGAATTTGCATTGGTAATATGCTTTTTGAATCACGGGTCTCCTTTGGCAATATTTTCTTGGTGTGAATATCTCCTCCCAAGCCCCAGCTCCTGCAGCCACTGACACACTTAGAGGCTGGTGTGTTCAGAGTGAGAACTTCTGTAGCAAAGTGAAGGCTGAACATCTGAATCCCACATCCAGCCTCTCAATCAACTCATTTAGTTTAACTCTGGGCAAAACTTTCTCTCTATCCTAACATAAGACTGGAAATCTGTGTGCATTCGCTCTCCAGCTGCCTCACTGTATGAGCTGAAAAACAGCTGCACACTGCAATGACTACACTCTTTAAATCCCTCTGGCACTTCTATATCATCCATCCTGTCCAACCTGTCACTCTGCCACTGAACTGCCTGTTACTTTGGCTGGCTCTCCACTATAGACATCTTGCTTCCCACCGTGATGCTGTGAGCTCTCAGACACTGCAGCTGGGTTTTTGGACTTTTCTATTTTTTTTGAGACAGAGTCTCACTTCTGTTGCCTGGGCTAGAGTACCATGGTGTCAGCCTAGCTCACAGCAACCTCAAACTCCTGGGCTCAAGCGATCCTCCTGCCTCAGCCTCCCAAGTAGCTGAGACTACTACAGGCATGTACCACCATCCCCCAATAATTATATATATATATATATATATATATATATTTTAGTTAGCCAATTAATTTCTTTCTATTTATAGTAGAGACAGGGGTCTCGCTCTTGCTCAGGCTGGTCTCGAACTCCTGACCTTGAGCAAGCCACCCGCCTCAGCCTCCCAGAGTGCTAGGATTACAGGCATCAGCCACAGTGCCAGGCCATGGACTTTTCTATGGTATTCAGTATATAAACGTTTTTAGATCCACCAAAACTATTTATATTAAAACAGGTAGGCCCTGTTAATATTGGCACTTGTCTTATTTGCCTGTAAGTGAGGATAACTGCTAACTTTTCGTTGGGTTCTAATCAGATTCTGTTCTAAGTACCTTACATGGATAAACTCAGTCAACCCTCACAGCATCTTTATAAAGTGGGTGATAGTATTATCCTCATTTTGCAGATGGGGAAAGTAAAGCTCAGAGGAATAACTTGCCTAAGAACACACGGCTAGTAAATGACTAAGCGGGGATTTAAATTCAAGCAGTCGGGCTCTAGAACCCTTAACTATGATTCCACTGCCTCTTAAAGTAAAAACATCCTAAGATACTATCATATTATTATACAATACAATGCCACGAAATGCAATACTAAATCCTTGTAGATCTCTTTTTTATTTAATAAAAAGAGCAGGCTCAAGTAATTAAGGACTTTAAGAAATTTGCTAAATGAGGTAGCTAGGAGTGGAATACCAAAAATATAGTTCGGCAATAGTAAAAGATGTAGACATCAGATTCCAAAGCCAACTAGAATCCTGATGAGAAACTTCTAGCAAGTCTACATGCCTGAGTACCATCCCACAAGCTTACAAACTAGAAATGAGTCACTGAATAGTCTTTACTAAAAAGAATAGTCATTTTCCTTCAGTTCCTTATACTTTTATTTTTATTTGCTTAAGAAAATACCATTTCTTAAATCTAAGTAGATAAGAATCTTACAAGAGTCCAGGCTTGAGTCTAAATTAGGGGCCCATTTTGGCTGCAAAATCCCTGGTAGTGCAAATTTTTAATTGAGGCCCATGTGCTATTTTGGTGTTTCTATGAAGTGTTCCTGCTGTGGATTCTCCAAAGAGCGCCACACATGGCAGAGTGGATGGAGAGGCACCACACCTGAATGAAACCAGTCACGCTGATGCAGCCTTAACTAAAGTCAGACCTTTCCTTTCCCGCACTGCAATCCTTCAGGCCCACTGGGGACACTCTGCCCAAGTCCAAATTCCACCCTGGTCTACTCAGCAGAATCTCAATGCTGCTCTGATTGTAACATACCCACAGTGAGAAATCACTTTTTATAGCATCTTTTCATACCTGGATGGGATAAGGAGGGGCTTTGGACCTGGGGGGCAAAAGGAGCAAAGTACTATGTATGTTCTGCCTGGGTTACTACTCCATCTGGATTGTTTTAGAGAGGCGGGAAGGAGGGTGGGAGAGAGGAGAAAAGTTAAGGTGTAATCACCAAGTCCTGGCAAGACAAAAACTCTTCTCCTCTGGACCCCCACTTCCACTCCATCCACCCGGGGAATCATACAGCACGACACTGGGTAGCTAGAAGAAGGGGCTACTGCTCAAGGCTCTGTCTCTGTCTGCAAGCTGCACAGTGGCTGCTGAGGAAGAAACCAGGGTAGCCAGACTGACAAAGCAGGAGGCACAGCATTAGGGCAGGTCAACCTGCTCGTCAATGACTTAGAGCATTCCGTAATCTGCTAGGTATTACAGCTGGAATGAGAAGCAGGGATGAAAGCGTGGGCACACTGTTAAACCCGGAACATCTACTTACAGGCTCCACAAACTCAAACATCTTTCTCTCTTGGACCTCCTGCACCTTGAAGACATATTCCAGGGACACTTCATAGAAATGCTGCCGGACCAGATCCACTTGGCTGTCTGCCTACAAACAAGATGAAATTTAAGAGAAAAATGAAGTCACTACCCCAGGAGAGCATTCAGCAAGCAGGCCAGAAAAAAAAAAAAAATCTGGAGATGATTTTTAAAAACATATCAAACAGCATGATACAGAAAGAATAATAACTACAGTAACCATTTCACTACATACGTTGAAACATATGCACTAAGTACTCACGTTGTACTCCTAAAATACATATGGATTTGCAAATCCAAAATACAAAAGATATATAGTCTTTTCAAAAGATAAAAACAAACAAAAAAAAAAGCCCTCAAATAGAACTGTAGGTTAAAAAAGGCAAATGGATATAAGGAATTCAAACAACAGCAAAAAAAAACACATATATATATGATCTCATTAAAACTTGGGCAGAGACTCTGAATAGACATGTCTCAAAAGAAGACATACAAATGGCCAACAGGCATTTGAAAAAATGCTCAACACATTAGGAAATGCAAATCAAAACCACAACGAGGTATCGTCTTAACCCTGTTAGAATGGCTAATATAAAACAGTAAAAAAATAACAAATACTGGAAAAGATGTGGAGAAAAGGGGACTCTTATACAGTGTTGGAGGAAATGTAAATTAGTGCATCCACTGTGGAAAACAGTATGGAGGATTCTCAGAAAACTAAAAATAGAACCACCTTATGATCCAGCAATCCCACTGCAGGGTGTATATCCAAAAGAAAGGAAATAAGAATATCAAAGGGCTACCTGCAACCCTGTTTATTGCAGCACTATTCACAACAGCCAATGAACAAATAGATAAAGAAAATGTGGTAGATATATGCAATGAAATACTATTCAGCCATGAAAAAAATAGAATGAAATACTGTCATTTGCAGCAGCATAAATAAATGGAACTGGAAGTCATTATATTAAGCGCAATAAGCCCGGCACAGAAAGACAAATATCACGTGTTCTCACTCATATGTGGGAGCTAAAACTGTGAATCTCACGAAGGTAAAGAGTAGAATGATAGTTACTAGAGGCTGGGAAGGGGCCAGGGATAAATGGAGGTCGGTCGATGGGTACAAAAATATAACTGGATAGAAGGAATAAGTTCTAGTGTTTGTGGCTGAGTAGTACTCCATGGCATACATATACTACATTTTATACCTTTTGTAACATCCTGGATGGAACCGGAAACCATTCTTCTAAGTGAAGTATCACAAGAATGGAAAAACAAACACCACATGTACTCACTATTAAATTGGAATTAACTGATCAAGACTCATGTGCATATATGGAAGTAAAACTCTACAGAAATGAAGCAGGTGGCAAGTGACGGGATGGGTCAATTCACACCTAATGGGTACAATGCACACTATCTGGGCGACGGGCACACTTTTAACTTTGACTCAAACTGTACAAAAGGAATTCATGTAACCAAAACGTTTGTACCCCTGTAAGATTCTGAAACAAACAAACATAAAAAAGTTCTAGTGTTTGATAAAACAGTAGGGTGACTGTAGTTATTAATAACAGTAATATATTGAATATTTCAAAATAGCTAGAAGAGAAAATATGAAATGTTCCCAACATAAAGAAATGATAAATGGTCAAGGTGATGGAAATCCTAAACACACTGAGATCTGATGATTACACATTGTAGGCATGCCTCAAAATATCACATATACTCCAATATGAACCAATTTAAAAAAACGGTGAATGAGTGGGCCAAATGGACACATTAGTACAAATAGTATCATGTCACAACATTAAAAGTAATCAAATCCTTGAAACAAACAAAAAAGAAATAGTAATGATAATGGTTATAGCTGAGTGCTACCTTTGCACCAGGAACCATGCCTAGAGCTGAATATACGTTACCTTATTTAATCCCCAGTAACTCCCGGTAAGGAAGATATTATCTTTATCTCTAACTTAAAAGGAGGAAAATGAAGTCCACTAACTTAAGGAACTTGGCTAATGTCACACAGCTAGTACAAGGCAGAGCTGGGATTTCTGTCCTCGTGGACCCGCCTCCAAGACCCTTGGATCATCCTGAAAGCACGAGGCTCTGCCACCTCCCCTCACCCTGTGGCAGGGCTGGGTTCCGGGGAAGACAGATTTTCCACAGCAGACAGATTTTTTAAGTGAAAAGGGAAACCTGCAGAGCCAGTCCTTCTGGATGAACAAAACAAGCCGTTAGAGGACAGGGAATCTCAGAAAAGGACATTTTCACAGGAGTCCCAAACACTTTCTATGTGGTAAGGATAAACTGTCAGTTTACCCCAAACAGGGTAATTACGTCACTTCTTCTCAATTTCACTTCTGTGAAGGTATGTGTCCAGGACAGGTCCACAGTGGGTACAATTAACCCACAGATCTGAGGTCTAGAACCCAGGGGAGAAAACAAGAATGCGAGGAGTAGCAAGATGCTATGTTGGTAATGACCTCAATTCCCACATAAAGCTCTAAACCTCTCTACAGTGTGGCTATGCCAGCTCATTGTTTCAAAGCAAATAATTACACTGCAAGCACATCTCAATGACAAAATAGTAAAGTGGATATATTTTTTTTTTTTTTTTTGAGACAGAGTCTCGCTTTGTTGCCCGGGCTAGAGTGAGTGCCGTGGCGTCAGCCTAGCTCACAGCAACCTCAAACTCCTGGGCTCGAGTGATCCTTCTGCCTCAGCCTCCCGGGTAGCTGGGACTACAGGCATGCGCCACCATGCCCGGCTAATTTTTTTTTTATATATATATATATCAGTTGGCCAATTAATTTCTTTCTATTTATAGTAGAGACGGGGTCTCGCTCAGGCTGGTTTTGAACTCCTGACCTTGAGCAATCCGCCCGCCTCGGCCTCCCAAGAGCTAGGATTACAGGCGTGAGCCACAGCGCCCGGCCTAAGTGGATATATTTTTAATATAAATAAATATCCTACTAGTAGGAAACAAAACACTCTGTTTTCCTTAGAAATAACAGAGTCAGAAACCATTCTGTAACACACTTCACTAAGACAAACAAAGTTCCCAAAGGAGTATTTCTTTCAGTGTTTCTTTGTCAAGATTTCTGCACAAAAAACCTTAGGACAGACCCTTCTATTATATCAAGGACAATAATGCTACCCTAACATCTTAAGAACTTAGCAAATCATTCATTCATTCAACTATCACAAGCATAAAGAAACTTCCTTCATGGAGCTTGCAGCATGGTGGAGAAAAGAGACATTAGTCAAATGATCACATAAATAAAGAGAAAACTACAGGATTCTATGAAACAGCCCAAAAGAGCACAGCAACTTCCTCCCAAAGCAACATGCATAGTAATACTCAGAAGCTAAGGAACTACTGAATCAAACTAAACTGCAGGGCTAAGTGTGGGGCATTTTCTAAAGCCTCCCAGCAGGGGAAGAAGCTGTCTGAGCACGGACAGATCTCTATTTGGAGGCAGGGTTTCAGAAGGCCCTGTACCCCCTCCGCTAGGTGTGGCTGCTTAGGCAACAGGGCTGACACACCTTCCAACTGGGCTCCTGCCAGCTAAGTCCCATGTGCGCCTGTAGCCTTTCATCTCTTTGTGGGGCAAACCCAACACACTGACACAGCGGGATGGACCTACCTCCCTTGACAACCCCACACACACCTCACGCTTTCTCCCCCTGCCCCGGCCTGCCAGCTGAGACTGCGAGTGGGGAAAGGGGGGCCAGGGGATCTTCCTGAAAATTCGCAAAGGCAGGAAGGAAAGAGCCAGAAGGAAACTCCTGTAAGGAAAATGGAACTGACTCCAGCATCAGCCAGAGAGCTGACGTAGGTCCAAGTTCTACTCTTACAATTTTCTAGCTGGTGAGACCTGTTCAAGTCTCTTCCGGAGGATGGAGGAGATAATATCAGCCCTTGCTTCTGAGTAGAGCTGTTTCAAAGAGAAAATGGGCCAAACAATGTGAATAATTTGAAAACCGGAAAGTGTCCTGTACGTGTCGGCTGTTATTCTCACAGGCGCTTCAGAGCAGAGGGGCTCCAACCCCTGCCCCGCCCTAAACCGGCTGCACCATCTCTGGGCCACCACGCTCCTCTCCTAACTGGTCTCCCTGTCTTTATCTTCTCCCCCGCCCCCAAGATACTCTGCGCCCAGCAGCCAGAATAACGTTCTTAAAATCGAAATCAGATGGTCTGACAACCCCTTCGAGGCCCTCCCATGGCCTCTACCATAGTCTGCAAGACCCTGTGTGATCTGCCCACCCCTCCAACCTCACCTCCTCCTGTCCTACCCCTCTCTCACTGTGCTCCAGCCACTGTGCTCTCCTTCCTGGCCTCTAACTCTCCAAACCTCCTTCTTGCCTGCAATTTTTGCACTTCGTGTTCCTTCTGCCTGAAAACCTCTTTTCCTAGATAAACACACAATTTTTTTTAACTTCAATGCACAGTGATACTCTTTATGACTCAATAAACACACATTTATAATTGTTAAGTGCAATGCATGTTCATATTTTCCGTTCTATTCTAGCCTACTCTACTCTGTTTCATGACCCAATAATTGCAATTCGATGACACACCCACAACTTTAAGACTGCCCTAGCTTTTCGGTTAGCTCACTGCTTCTCATCCTTCTGGGCTCAGTTCAAATGTTAGGTACATCTCTTTTGGAGAAGGCTCCCTTGACCACATTATTTTAAATAGGTTACCGAAGAATCTCTATCTCATCTCCCAATTTATTTCCTTATCGCTATGTGAAATTCTTAATTATTCCTTTCTTTTCTTATGTATTGCCTATAGAATATACAGTCCACGAGAACAAAGACCTTGTCTAATCTTTCCACTTTTCTATCCCAGTGCCCAGAATGGTACCTAGCCCATGGTAAATGTTCCACAGATGCTTGTAAAATGAATAAATTGATCTCTCTGTGGCCATCAGTCAACACCAAAGGCATGTCCCTGCAGTCACCCAGCACTAGGAAGAAATGCATAACTCAATGCAGCTCCAAAGGAAAAAGAAAAACAAATCCCAGGTGAAATTGTATGTTTCTCTTGCCAATGCCTGCTTACGCTGAGTATAGAATTGATCACATCCTTAGACCCCCTGCAATGAAATCATAAGCCAGGATTCTATCCCCCCTGGAAAACCACTCAAAAGAGCTTCCATGCCTATCACATGAGAAGCTATAAATCTACTAGCTTGTCCAGACCCACCAACTACTCTGTTCTTCTTGGAAAAGAGACATTCTCCTCAACTGCAAGTTCTATAAAGGTGGAGCCTTCATGCCACTCCCCACAAGACACCGAGTGCCTGGATAGACTTTCACAGAAGCACCCAATGAATATTTGTTGAATGAATGTTTTTTGTGCAAGCCCTCTGCCATTGAAGAAGTCACTGATTTTTAAAATCATCCACTAGATGGCAGTGTCGTTCCACATTGCAGCCCTATGATTTCCACCTGCAAAAATCTAAGGGCACGCTTGAATTTAAAAGCACTCCGTTCAGAGCCCCGCAATCAGGGAACAATTCTGGATAATCAAAGGTAGTAAATCTCATCAAAGATATACCAGGTGTTTAATAATGTTCCTAAAAGCTGATTTTTTTAATAAATGTGAAGAAAATCACCACTAAATAGCTGAAACACCTTGAGCAAATCACTTGACGTCTATGAGGAGCTCAGCTCCTCCAAATGTAATTCAAGGAGGTTGGACTGGGTGATCCGAGGTCCCTCCCTCTCTCCAATCTTTTGCATGACAGTGGAGCTGAGTAACAATGGCTGGCAGGCAACAGGGTCCCACCACCCCTCCTGCTGCAGAGAAGTAGAAGAGACAGCTGGGCTAAGGGAAAGGGCTCTACGGGCAGGTGCCAGGGTTGAGTAGCTACTGGCAGGCTACTTAGCATCTCTGAGCCTCGGTTTCCTCATATGTAAAACAGAGATAATAATTACATCTCACAGGGAGACTATGAGGATTCAAGATTCTATGTCAAGTGCTTAACACCAGTACCTGGGGCATAAATATGCATTCAACAAACGTCTGCTGCTATTATTGTTGCTATTGTTGCTAGCAGCAGTAGTAAGTAGTATCATTGTTGTTGCTGCTCTTAGGTTTTTATGCCATTTAATTCAGTTCAGGCACAACTAAAAAGCAATGCTTGAGAATTGACCTGAACAGACCAGGACTTGCAAGAAAGACCTGCAGCCCAATCCTCACCTGCACAGTACTTTGAAAAGCATGAATGCCTAAAAAAAGACAAGAACACAAAAGACTGTAACAAAAGCATAATGGAAAACAAAAAACAAAAGCATAATGAAAAACACCCACTGAGACATATAGCTGGCGAGGTCCAGAAGAGTGACATCCAATTTGGGAACAGGGAATGGAGAACAACCCAGTCATGGTGATAATACTTTATGTTTGCATAATAGTTATAGTTTGCCTTCTCATTCATGACATAGGCCGGACATATATTTTAAGAGTATTTTAGAAATAAAGCTCAGAGAGTCTAAGCAACTTGCCCCAGACCACACAGTAAATACATGGCAGAGTAGATCTTGAAGCAAGGAACCCTCTTTGCCAGCCCCGTGTTCTGGTCTCTGCACTGCGACACCTCAGAGGGAGATGGCATTAGGATGGTCCTAAAAGAAAACCCTGGACTCATCCCAGACCAAGTCAGCAACATCTGGGCATGGATGAAACGGACCCGGAGGAGAAGCACCCTCACTCTGGGGAATGCCACGCCCACAGGATAACTGTGCTGTGGGCCTCCCGGCATGAGCAGGTGCCGGAACCACCACACACCTACTCAACTCTGAACTCCTGCACTAATGGTGCGTGCTCATCCAACCCGTAATGGCTACAAAGGCTCCATGGCTACAAAGCTGGCTTTCTTTCCAAGGGACTATTTTTAAAAGGACCCCATGCATATCGAGAAAAATGGGGGGTCAAGTCTAAACAATTTATTTCCTTGAAACAAGGTTACCAAAGTGCAAAACATATGCATGACGATAAAGCACTGCTTAAAAAAAACAAAAACAAAAAAAGAAGAGACTAATATCAAGTACTGATTAAAATAATGAAAAAAAATTAATATTAAGGAAGGATAACCAAAGTGTTTCAGGATGCTAACATCTCACATCACTGACATGCAGGAAGTCAAAAGGTAACAGTGCAGAATTAAGGCCAAGGATGAGAGGAACAGGAAGAGACGTCAGTTTGCAACGAAGAAGCACAGTCTAGCACTTAGGGCTGCCCAACAAGGAAGCGGTGGTCTTGGCCCGCAGGATGCTCCACCACTGACAGGCTGCAGAGCCACAAAGGTGGGGCAGGACGATGGGAGGACACAAAGACAATCCAGCATCAGGCATCGGGCGAGGGGTCAGAGCAAGCTCCTGGCTTCCAAAGTCTCTTCTAACCCTAAGATTTTCTGGTCAAAAGCAACCAGCACATCATCCAGAGCACCACGTAAAAGTTAAACATTCTACCCAGGATACAAGCAAAGTTTCTTACCTCCTGCAGCTGAGATTCTTTCTTTTTGGAAGATAAATTCAAGTGTTTTTCTAAGATGCCACAATACTTCTCTGTCTCTTTGTCATACTTCTTTTTGGCTTCCTGGCAAAAAAAAGAGAAGAGAAAATGAGTAAAATTTTGCAGGAATAGAAGCAGCCTCAACCTCTCAAGAGCTTTCTGCCCATCTTCGTGGCCTCGTCATGCCCTCAGCACACACCGCACAGCGGACGGCCCAGTGCCCACTTTTCAGATGTCACTCACTAAATCTCACAACCACCCTCAACAGCCTCTCGGCTTCAGCATCTGCCATAGAGACATCAGCACAACGCCAGAAACCAGGTAAACACCAGTATTTAACAGTGGCAAAGCCAGGACCTACCCCTCTAAGATCTTCAATTGTGAAACAGGCATTTCTAGCTTCTAAACCACAAGGTTATTGAAAGCCAGAAGGAGGGAAAGGGCCCCTATGAAGCTAATACTAAGGAAAGAAGAGCTACTATAGACTAAGGCTAGATCCAGCCTTAATAGTGTTCAAAAGCACTTATTTATAGGCCTAATATCCCTTGACAAAATAATATCACATATGGGTCTTTAAGCTAAAGAATAATTCAAAACAAGGATGTTATCCTCACAAATGTATTCACTACAGCACCATTTATACTAGCAAAATAATAAACGCAGCAGCAAGGATAAGGTTTAGGATAAAGTATGGAACATCCAATAAATGTAACTAGTCGTATGGAAAACTGCTCATATTATAGTATTAATAGCATTTTAAAGACTTAGCGCATCCTACCTACAATGTATCTACCTATGGAGAAAGATTAGATGGGAATATATAATACTTAAATGAAAATACTTGAATTAAAGAAACAAGATAACGGGTAATTTTTTTCTCTTTGGGAAATTTTTATTAACTTATATCACTGCCTTCAAAGTGGAAAATAATTATAATACTATACATATTAATCCTTGCTCTCCCACCCAGTCATTGAGTCACTGAGCCACTGAGGTTCTGTTTTTACACCCCTGCCCCTATATTGACAGATAAGAAAACGTGGACCAGGGAGGTTAACCAGTAAAAAGTCACAGGGAGGGACTTTTGACTCAGTCCTGCTTTTGACTCATGTGGAGTCCAAAGGGATACTTTTCTGCAACTCCGAGGCCTACAAAAGAGGAAAAAAAAAATGTTCTGGCCGGATAAGGAAGTTCAGACACATCTCTTCATTCATTTAACAAATTCACAATGAGCAACTGCTGTGTTAGGCTCCACTTTGGGCATTAGAAATACAAGGCAGAAGTGGTCCCTACCCTCGTGGTGGGAATGTTCCAGTAGAAAGAAAAACGCAATTAACCGGCAAACAAATAACCAGTATAATTATAGCTTGCTGCAAGTGCTACAGAGGAAATAAACAAGGTGTGGTCACCGAGATCTTTAGATAGGATGCTCAGGAAAGGCCTCCCTGGTAAAGGGAGATGTGAGTTAGCAGGAGAACAGTTAAGTGCAAATGCCCTGGGGCAGGACACTCCGGAGCCAAAAGGCATCACCAGGAGCCCTGCCAAGCAAGCTCCCACAATGTCGCAACGCCATTTATCTGCTATGTGTCTCACAGAATGGGCATAATAATCATACCCACTTTAGCTGGCATGCATCCATTTCTACAGATCTGAGTTTTGCTTAAAAGACTGCTCACACACAAGAACAACTAAACGTGCAGAAGCAAATGAAAAAAAAACGCCCAAAGAGACAATCACTCCCTCCAATTTGAGGAGGGTCCAGGCAGGAGACTTGACTTGAGCAATTCTTTTCCTTTAGAGAAGAAACCAGCAACGCCGAGCTGGGCTCCAAATCCCATTACCGCTCACATTTACCTCTCCCCACCAGCCTCATCACAACCGGTGCAGGACAGTCCAGCTGGCCGGAGGCGAGAAAAGGCCAGGGGACATGAGTCACCCACACGCCGACTTTCTGGCAACTTTCGCCGCCACGTTCCAGGTTCTGGAGGACGGCCAAAGTCAGAGAAGAGAGTAAAGGGAAAGGGAAGCAGTTTCTGTCCCGAGAAAACAGCAACGAGACCTCTGCAGGGAAAATTCCACTGCAGTTCGTAACAGATCGTGTTCTTGAGAGGGGAGGCTGGTACGAGCCAGAGTGACGCAGGGCACATGATGGTCTTCACCTTCCAGGCGGCCCACTGTGGAGTGGTTAAGTACACAGAGGACAGATCAGGATCCCGGAGTTCACTCTCTATGGACTGACGCTAACCAAATCACCGTCCCTCTCCGGGACCCCGTTTCCTCATCTATAAATTGAGGCTGACTAGATGAGGGTTTCCTCTTTCAGCTCAATGATTAGATAGCAAAATTAAGGACAAGAACACCCCTTTCCTTGTAAGGTTGTTACAATTGATAAACGACATGCAGTGCTTAGCAGGAGTGCCTGTCCCACGGAAAGTGCCCGATAAACGTCAGTGATGATGATGGTGGTGGTGACGAGCTCATCATCGAACCCACCTCCTGGTCAGGGACACCACTTGCTCTTCCACATTCCATGTGCCACGAAGGCAGCCCTTCCAAGCGCCTAGCACGATGTCAAATTACACGTTTATTTATACCTTTTTCTCTAACATCTTCCTCCCCAGCCACACCACGCGCACAAGCAACCACACTTGCCTCCTTCTCCAAGTTCCCGTGCATGATGTCAGGCTCACCCAAGAGCAGGCTCTCGCCTTTTTTTCAATGAAGTAACTGTGTGTATCCAATGTAATAGTTTACATCAAGTGACTATACCACAGACCTTGCTCACAGCGCCAAACAGCTATATGACACACTGTTTTAAGCCCTTTCTGTGAGTTCATTCATCTCTTTCTCATAATCACTCTAACAAGGAAGCTCTGTAGTCATCCGCATTTCACAGAGCAGGAGGCAAGCAGGGACAGGTTCGTTAACCTCCACGTTTACACACAAATGGCACAAGTGAGATTTGGACTCTAGCAGTCTAGCTCTAGACCCACTTCCTTTTTTTTTTTTTTTTTTTTCAGGCTATTACAGGGATAAAAACGTTTAGACCCATTCATTAACCACTACTACTGTCTTCTGCCTGTTCTGCTTTCATTCTGGAGCCCAGCACTCCAGATGTACCTCTGATGCAGGAAAATCCCGCTTCCCCAAACTCAGAAATCAAAACTTGGGGTCACAGTTATATGCCAAGCTCCAGGGTCGAGCCCTAATTCCTTAGCACGAAAATGCCCAAAAGTCCTCCTCCCCGGCAGCCCTCACACTGAGCACCCTGCAACAGGTTGTTACAGCAACTGAAGCAGTGCCAGAGAGTAGAGGAGGAGGAAACGTAATCTTAGCATCACGCGGTCACAGTTCCGAAGCCCCACTTGGCCACCACCAAAACCAGCTAGAGAACACTTGCTGGCTCTTAGGTATTGCTGAGATCACTCGCCTCGTAGTGTGTTTGTTCTCTGTTTTCTCACAAATTTACCTAATGCTACGATATAAACGCACGGGTGTGTGGGATGGTGGAGAGGAGGATATGCCAGAAAAAAGGCGACAAAGGGGAAGGAATGAGACATCACCCCAGAATATCATTGCAATCATTTTTAATGATTAATGAAAAAGGTATGTAATCATTTGTGATTATTAATGATTTAATGAATGAAAGAATAGAATATGCATAAGGGGAAACACGCTTTGGTGAGTGACTATTCTATTTAAATTCTTTTATGTCTTACCATCTATCGCCCACACCCACCCGACAGGGAAAAGCACCTGCTCCTGTCATTAGGGGTCACTAGTATCCTAGCCAAAGGGAGGCCACTGAGACTTTTTCTTCTCCCTGTGGTAACGTGGTGACCTTGAAACCACTGTAAGGGAAGAGACCAGAGTGAGTGGCATCTGGGCTCGGAAGCAGAAGAAATCACTGAAGAGACGTCTCAAGAAACGGGTCTTCCCTGTGTCTGCCGCGACGCTCTTCATCACCTCAGGAGCAACCACCTCGCGAGTGCAGGGGCAGGAAAGCCCAGGCTCTGAGGCCGCGAGTCCTCACGGCACTCTCGGCCCCCACGGCTCACTCTCGGCCCCCACGGCTCACTCTCGGCCCCCACGGCTCACTCTCGGCCCCCCCGGCTCTCTCTCGGCCCCCACGGCTCTCTCTCGGCCCCCACGGCTCACTCTCGGCCCCCACGGCTCACTCTCGGCCCCCACGGCTCACTCTCAGCCCTCAAAAGGGGCTCATTTCGGCTCGCCACAGCTCCACTCTCGGCCCCCACGGCTCACTCTCGGCCCCCACGGCTCACTCTAAGTCCTCACGGCTCACTCTCGGCCCCCACGGCTCACTCTCAGCCATCACGGGGCCGGTTTAAAGTCCGAGACAAAATCTGAGTTGAACAAGACTTCCTTCAAATCATACATTCCATCATCTCTGATACAAAACCTGTGAGCTCCCATTTCTTAACAAATGTGTAAACTGAACTAGTAGAGAAGTGCTGTAAAAGTGGGAGAAAGGCCTTCCCCATGGTCCCTCCTTCAAACCAGCCCTCTGGAAGACCCTGGCTAAACACCGTCTTTTCCAGGCCCTAACCGTGTCCGTTTCCAGATGGCAGGTGCTCCGTGCGTGTGTGCTGGGGGGAGGGGGCAGGGATTACCTGATTGTGCCGGTGAGTAGAATCCACCCAGGAAGACGGTGGTGTTACCCCCAACCCCCAGCAGGTGGCGCAAGGGACCGTGGCTAAATTGACTCAGGGTTCCCAAAAAAAAAACCAGGAAGAAAATGTTGAAAATCCTTTTACTTTTCCTTGATTCCAATGAAAACATCTTCCCTGTAGGTGGCCTCTAACACTCTAATGAAGGTCACCCCAGCTAGGGTTTCCTAGTGATTCATCACAGGGCAAGGGGACCCTGGAGAATCCACCTTTTAAAAATCAACAGGATTCCTTTTGCGGTCTGTTAATAACACATGAGAATTAGTTAAGTCTGGGCTCTAACCCACCCAGGTCAGTGGTAACAAATGATGACCCTCTGGGCTGAAGCAGAATGTGGTTTTCTGACCTGCACAACGTGTAATACATTATATTAATATGTTTTTTAATTGTTTGCCAACAGGAAATTTCACATAAAACCAGTTTTTCGGTTTCTCTTGAAAAATGTAAAGATCTGGCCAGAGAAGTCCCCTTTCCACACACAGTAAAAATCAGCTAAAGCTAAGTACCAGCTAATTCCCTTTAAAGAGGGTCTCTACACCCATGTAGCCTGACTTGTAACCCCTGTTTAGGCTGCGAATCCTAGCCCTCCATGATTAATGTAGCTCCACAAAAAACAAAAAAACAAATGCATTGTCCAATGTAGTCAATTGTCCAAGCACACAGCTCTCTATCAACACAAAGGAGGAGTAGTTTCTACCTTTGGATGATTCATAAACCAGTACAAAGCAATTAGGTAACAAAATACCAGAATGGCTGCACTGGGGTTGCCCGCTCAGACGGTTGTACCCCAGTCCCCTGCCAAGCACTGCAGGGTTCTGATGTGTCAGGCTTCTCTGCCTAGGAAGATTTTCTGAAGAAGGTTGGCTTTGATTTTTCTGAAGACTTTCTTAGATTTTCTAAAGAAAGTGCTGCACCGTCCAGACCTCTCACCCTAAAATCCAAGAACGAGGCTTGCGAAATTCTCACCTTGGCAGCCCCGATCTGCTCCTTTCGAAACTTCTCCAAGGGAGTGATGAGCACCTCACTGGCATTCTCGATCTGGTGAAGAAAATCAGAGGACGGAAAAAAAGACACAAAAGCAATATCAGTTAGAGAATTACAGCAGCCTCCTCACGTCTTAGTATAAAACTGGAATAAGCAATATTACGTGTGAACTAACAACATGTCAAGTCAAAATCTAGTCACCCGTTCAAAACATGATATTCCTCCTGTGCATGATTCCTATTGGGTCTTTAAAAAATGAGGACCTCTAAAACCGTAAGCATCCCTCCAGAAGCAGGGGGGAACTGGCGACAGAGTAGGGTCTACGTTTCAAGTTGCAGGTGGCATCTTCCTGTAAAAATGTTCATTCACACAAGTTATAGGTAAAGTAGATCCATACTGAGACTAAGTTAAAAACAAAAACACAACACCTCTGGACATCCGGTGGCATCAAAACTTTTCAAGCCCAATTTGGCGTGGCCCTCCCAGCACTGAACTTGACTGGGGCCAAGACATCCATGCCTCCTGACCACAGCCATCTCTCAACTCCATCTCACAGGGCTCACGCCTGGGTCCTGCACCCCAGCCCACCATCACCCCAACACACCTCCAATGCGCCACACTTGCCCCACCTCGGGGCCTTTGCCTTTGGCTAGTCCCTCAAACACTCCCAACCCCTTACAGGGACAACTCTTTATTGTAATGAAGCTTTCTGCTTAAAAGTCACCTCTCTGGGGAGGCTTTCCCTGACCACCAATGCAATCCAAAGATGCCACAGAGTGTTTATTTCAGAGCAAGTGTGCCAGCTGAAGTGTTGTAATTCACCACTACCCACATTTACATACACACACGCATGTACACATATATACGTGTCTTGTAAATGCTCACTTTTCTACCACTATCCTCAAAACACAGAAGAATGCTGAAACAAAGGAGCACTCAAACACTTCTGAATGACTAAATGAATGAATGGATTATTTCCTGATTGGCTTCCAACTGTGTGACCACAGGCAAAACGTTTAACCTCTCTGGGCTCCAATTTCGTCATCTGCAAAATGAGTGGGCTGAATTGTTCCAGCTCTAAGATTCTACAGTCTTTTCTAAGCCAGTACGATATTTTACAATCTTTCCTTTTAAGTCATTCATTTATCCACTCTTCGCTCAACTAATTATTTCAGGAATCTCATCCCAACAAAGCATTATTTTTTCAAAATCACATGCAGCACGTCCATCGTAGTGAAGCCAACAGAGTAAATGCCAAAAGCCATAGATGGACACAGTAAGAACTGACTGGACAATGTAAGGGACAGAAAAAGTCAAATCTCCAAACTTATTCCCATTTGCCCTTTTCTCAATTTTGAGATCACTTATTTCAGAAGAGTGCATTTTAACACCAGAGTGCCATGATGTTATTTAACTTGGTTGATGTTTACTGTTATTTGATATTGCTTAATTGGTTACATCTTTTCCACAAATCACCTGCAAGTCTCTGAAGCTCACAAAGGGGTACCCAGTCCCTTAATCAGTGGTTCTCAACCTTACCTGCATGTTGGAATCATCCGGAAAGCTTTTCAAAATACCAATGTACGTCCAGGCCACACTCCAAACCAATCAACTCGAAATCTCTGAACTTGGTCTTGGACATCAGTATTTTCTAAACTTCCCAAGTTATTCCAGTTGGCATTCATGACCGAGAATCCAGTCCTAACCAGGTGCTTAAAATGCAAAAGCACTCAAGTGCTCAGCTGGAAATCAGGACACCCAAGTCCCTGTCCCAGTCCTACTACTACTTGCTATCAGCCTTGATAAGACTTGTTTTGTCATCTGTCAAATGAGGAATTGCCAATGGTGAAGAATAAGGTTCTGCTGGGTCTAAGATTCTATGACTGTGTAACTTCCACTGAGTTCTAATACTGTGCTTGATGTTGGGGACACAAAAGCTCTTCCCCTGAGGAAGTTCCATTTACTGTGGAGCACAGACAGGTACAGAGGTTATCAGGACACAACGCAGTCAACGCAGACTCTCAGGCCTGAACTGGGTGCTAAGAAAACACAGAGGATGGCCAAATGCCCCAGGGAGCCAGGGAAGGCTGCCCAAAGAAGGTGTGGCTTTGCTGAGCTGAACTGAAGATGAAGCTGACACAGGGCAAGGAGGTGGAGAAGGGGCTGGTGGTGGCCAGATACTCAGATGCAGACAGCAGAAACTCAATTCACTGGCACTAATAATAAAATTGCAGAGGCAAGCTGAAAAGTATAATCCGGTCATTGTTCCCTGACCACAGGCCACAGCAATCTGCAGGGTATTCACAGTGATTTGCTCACCACACCCCCACACCCCAAAATACTAATTTAGCCAAGAAATCAGACTCGAAAGAATCATTTCCCTTTCTCAGGCACAAGCACGTGCACAAACACACAGGCGTTCTCCTGCCACAGGCGTCCACCCACCGCCAACCCTGCCGCCGCCGCTGCCACCGCCAACCCTGCCGCCGCTGCCGCCACCCTCCTGACTCTGGTTCAAGTACCCAGCAGTCAGCAACCAGGGGAAACAAGGTCTCTCTCTGCAGAGCAGAAGGTGAGAGGCTACTGCTCTGGAGTTTTAAAGAAATGACCACATTTGGGGGGTATAATGCAGACGTGGGTTTGAATCCAGACTGAACCACTTATTAACTGTGGAATCCAGGACAAGTTACTTAACCTCTGTAAACCTCAATATCCTTGTCTGAAAAATGGGGATGATATAGATACCACGTCACAGAGTCATCATGAGGGTTAAAACAGAAAATGCATGTGACATACTTGGCTTTGTAATGTCTTAGTAAACTTGGTGCTCGAACTGTCAACTATTCATGTGCAAAGAGAAGAAAATGCTCAGTGATGCAGTCTTCCCTAGGCCTTTGGAGTACTGTCACCGGGAGACAAGCCCTGCTCAGGGCAGAGCAGCGTGCAGCCAGCAGGGGATTTCAGATCAGGATTCATTCCTCACATCTTAGCCACTTCGGTACGGCGCTCACCGGCCGCAAAACCTCGCCCACAGCCGGCACTCACAGTCCGCACGATAGTTTGTGCTGTGCATTGACGACAAACCTGTTTTGCTCTTGTGTGATGAGGAAAGCTTTAAAGCACTGAAAGCTTGTTTTACTTCACAGGCAGCTTTCCTTGCAATGTAAATCAGAATAGGTAACATATACATATATGTTTGTATTACGTTATTTTTAAATGTTCACAATTTTATTTTGATAAATGAAAAATTAGAAAAGTCATATCACAGCTGTCGGCTAAAGTCGACGCTCGCTTCATCTATGGCTGCCGACTGTAGTCGACGCTCGTACTGAAGTGGTTAAGGACATGGAGGAAGATGCAAAAGAACGTCCCGTGGATGCAGAATCTCTCACCTGTGAATGCTGAACCACATGAGAATAAATCCTAGTGTAAAAGGTATCTCTTAAGAACCTGGGGATCAACATTTGATTCTTGAATCTGCACAGTGGCTCTCTTTGAAGAGCTTCTTACAGCCACCTACATTTACCAAGTACCTGTTTACTGGATGCCGACACAGAGCAGGCACTATGTTATTTGCTTCAGAAGCAAAAGTGAAGAAGTGAGCCTGCTCTCAAAGGGCTCTTGGACAGATTTAATATGGTGGGGGGAAGGAGGGAGCAGAGAGGAGGCACCTTATTTCCCATTCCACTGGTAGAGAATTTGAGGCCCCCCCAAAATGAAATAATTCAAAAGATCCACCCTTAAGCCATATACCTTATGTATACACCTTACAGTGAACCTTTAGAAGGACAACAATGTCGTTCTAAAGTCATCCACGAGGGTAATCCTTTAACATTCACAAAAGGCTGCAAACCCTAAAAAGATGAGGCTTGCTCAAGAGCTCGCAGCACTCAAGCGGCTGAGTCTGGGCTGGAGCCCAGTTCTTCTGACAACAGATCCCTTGTGCCCCTCAACACGAGCATGCTGTCTGGGACCAAGAGCAGCCCAGCCACACTCACCATCCGTATCCGTTCATCTTCCAGATTCCTGAGGACGGTGGCAAACTCCTGCAAAGACCTTGCTGGAAAAGAGAAAGGGGCCATGAGGTGGGAGGCAATGGGCCTTGGGGAGCCTTTCCAGCTCCAGCTATCATGCTATGGATTTAAGTTGCTCAGCACATGCAGACACCTAAAATCAATTGCTTCCCAAGGCTCTCCTTATCTTTTAATCATTAACCATTAAGGGTGACCCAGAAATGCAAGTTAACTCCACCTGGCACTCTAGCTAGGAAAGGATTTCTTCAAGGAAAAGACCTGCCTGTTCCTGAGAATACCCAGGACTGGTGAGAGGCTGGCAGGCTCCCAGGCCCCCGGCCTGGAAGGGGTAGAGTTCCGCTTAGGAATTGAAGGATTTCCTGTCCAGAATTCGACCTCCTCAACCTTTGTCGTGGGGTTGCGTCAGAACCCAGCCTTTTCTTTGGCACCAGAACTAAACAAACAGTGCTGCTGGCATTGGAAGCCACATCTCCTGCTTCTCCTTGGGTTCCTCCTTTTGAGTCCTCAAGTCGCTCATTAACAGCGTGCAGCTTGCAGCACAGTGCTCAGACATGGGCAGTCTTCTCCGTCACAACTGTGCACAGAGGCAATCAGCATTAAGTGCAATAGCCCTGAGGGTACTTGGGCCCCTTGTGCGGGGCTGGGAAAGGCATCCACGCATTCATGAGTGACAACAAGGATGTGTGTTCACCACTCTCAGCTGTCGCCCAACTGCTTGTGCTCATCCCCAGATCCCGTGCTCTGCATGGCAACAGGAACTCGGGAAGACTTTGATGAGTTAATTAAGTCAGTAGAACTTTCTCAATTCTTTCTCACTGGACGTAATCAACCAAGTTGCCCAATATAAGACTAGGGAGCAATGACAATGCCCTGGCAAAGAGAGGTGTCTCGACATGCAAATCCTCCCCGCTCGGGGCTGCCTACAGACAGACACAGGTGACGTGGAGAGTGAAGCGGCACAGCATGGTGGTAACTGGCAACCCACTTCAGCCTCTTGTTAAGGAAACCAAGGGGAGAGGAGAGGACCACAATGAACCGGACACTGAGCTCCCCTCCCTATCCGAAAGCCATGGCAGCAACATAGCCTGGCCACCTGTTGCCAGGCCAGAATGTGGGGCCAGTAGATTAGATGACTGTACTTTCCAAAGAAGCTGGAAAATGAGAATTTCAAATAAATTCAATTCATATGGTAATCCAATTTAAAAAAATGACAGCTGAACAAAACAGGACTGCATTCTGACCTCAACCTACGGGCTATCATTTTGTAACCACTGATTTAATTCTCCCCTCATCCAGCTGCTTCTGCTTTTGCACTAAGCTCTTACTACTGTAGTTGGGGAATAAGAATATCACAAAACCAGCCAGAAGAATAATAAAGGAAGGTGGAGAGGGGCTCCCTGCTGCAAAACTTCAGACTTTCTCCTACATGCTGGAGGGCGAGTGAGGCAATCCCAGAAGTCATGGAGAAAACCAGAGTAGCCCCGAGCCCCAATCCTCACACATCTCTGCCTCTCACTGCCACTATGGACGTCCTTCTTTACTAACCTCAGACACTTCCGATCCCAGGAAAAAGGCTCTGCCAGGACACTGAAAACTGACGAGCAATAAACGTTTTTATTTTCCGCACAATTAAGACTTACCTATACACATCTCATCATCCGTTTCTGCATCTCCTATGCACTGAAATTTAAATTCATTTAAGGAATCTGCAAACTTCCGCTTCGCTGAAGACAAATCTAGCAAGAAAAAGAAAGGAAAAATCAGAAATTACTAAAATTAAACTGGCTTTCTAATTTGCTCCCTTTTCTGGTTCTTCCAAGAAGATGCCAAGCAAGCACATTTGTTCCTGAGTCCGTGTGTAAGTACAAAGGAACGTAAATTCAAAATAGTAAATACTTGTTTATAACATGAAGCATTGACTTGCTCTAGAAGTTAATATTTTTGTTATATTTGCTTTGACAATGCAAGATCTCCACTTCCTCAAACCACAGTGAGTCCTATCATCTCCATTTGACACACGTGGGGACCCACTTGCCTAAGGAGGTCAGACGGAATGCCTCGGTCAGAGCCAGCATCAACACCCACAGCCTGCAAGTCTTCCTTGTGGTCAGGGCAGCTGCCCCCACGTCCAACTCCCAACACAAACTTTCATTAGGGAGGGAGCCCGCGGAATCTGGAAGGAAGGGCTGGGAACCACCCCCATTCCATGGTACGGGAACACCCAGTGGAGGCCCCCGAGTTCTCCGAACCCTGTCTGCTCTCCTCCCGAGCAGAGCGGCCAGCTTGACAACACCCTACCTGGACCATTTTCCTGGGTGGCTTCATCCACCTCCACCACCACCAGGAGAACAAACACCTGGCAATGTCTTTTATTGGGGTAAAAACACATGCCACGCATAGTATCTGTAACAAAAGCTTTCAGAGGGCCTTGTCAAATGAAAAAAATAGATAAATAAGCTTTCATTTAAGATACTAATAAAAGCCAATGATCCTTCCTGAGCCTTCAGCTTCTGTTAAGGGCATAAAACCACCAAGGGTACCTTTAAGTGGACTGACAGATCTGGCTGTTCAGTGCAAATGTGCTTAACTTAATTTCATGTGCAGCCTTCCTGCAGATCAGGCTAATCATTCAAATTACCCTCATGCATGTTTCCCTCATTGAAGGGGAAATGGCATTATGTTCAAATTCCCAGAGGAGGGAAACAAGAGGCAGGACTGGCAGCGAGGCCTGGCTTTAGTAAGTCGTGGGGAGGCAAGGGGCATATCCTGGCTTCACAGAAGCAACATCACCTGCTGGAAGGAAAGCACCCAAGATTCCCAGCACCTCTCCTCCTCAGCTTCCAGATTTGTCCTTTGAGGCTAGGGGTCATGTTTTTCGTCTTCTGATTTTGTTTGGTTTGTTTCCTCTCCATGGCCTGGCAGTGCATCCTGCTCAGTGTGTGCTGAGTAAACGTGTGTGGGGGGCACTGTATACAAATCCAACCCCCTGTGCTAGCTGCCAAAGCAGTGGCTGCTAGCGGAAGCACCAGGCTTACGCCATGCTGCCGTGCTCAGGGCCAGGGCTACTGCATGGATACCAGCAGCTCCTGCCCCTGGACCGCCCTCCCACTGGCTTGGTCCCAAGCTAGCCTCGCCTTGTGCAAAGCACTCTGCTCCAAACCAAAAGAGGAAGGCACTTGGGGTGGAGAACACAGGAGCCAACAGCCAACAGTCTCTGGTCTCTCCCTGGTTCATGCAATGGTTCTTGCCAAAAAGTCAACAGATGCTAGCAGAGGACTCAGGCATCTATCAAAACTGGCCAACCCAGGCTGAGGCTACCGCTCAGACTACAGATCGCTCCCTGGCAAGGCAAGAAAGAAGCAGATGCATCTGAAAGTCACAACGCTGTGGGGAGGAAGGAAAGAGGTGGCCACAGGCAGGCAGGAGGAAAAAGGAAGAGAATGATATGTGAGAGTGGAAGACAAAGCCCTCAAGAGCCCCAGTGTGCGTGCACTGAATGTGGGTGTGGTCGTACATAGCCTTATTTTAGTTAGAATAAGCAAACAGCAGGTTTGCTTCTCTACCCACCTGACAACCCTCCTGGGCCTGCCCAGAAGGCAAGAAAGACTCAAGCTGGACACTCACCTCAACCAAGTAGAAAAAGGGTGAAACGTAAGCCAGGCCTAGGAAAGCTCCCAGCACGCACCTGAGAAGCCACCCTGCCAGGGACAGCTGCCAGCCAGGACCAGGGAGCGGCTTGTAAGGCACAACAGGGCCTTTGTGAGCCTCTGCACAGGTGGACCCATTTAACCAGGACAGGGCCTGTCAGCTTATGGCCAGATGGGGACCTGGCTTCATTGTCTGGCGGCACTGAGCACACCCTGTCACAGCGCACACCTGAGAAGCCACGCCGGCCCATGAAGCTGGGGAAGAAGCCGGTCCCCCGGGAGATGAGGTAATGATGACCGCCGGTGTAGAGCTGGCACCGGGCTGCAGGCCAGCGAGGGCAGCTGGGTAGAGCGACAACCCCCACGATGGCACCTGAAAAGTAACTCGCGTCGGGCCTAACAGAGGAGTCGTTCAGCAAAGCTGAAAGTGGCACCTGTTGTCTCGCTTGTTGGAAATCCTTTCCCCTGTCTCTGGGACAGCGTGTCAGACTTGCTCTGGAGAACCTCCTTTCTCTGCTTGCATTCTATGGGGTGCTCATGACAGGCTGATCAACCCCAACCCCTGGGCCCCACCCCAACCCCACTGGCTCCTGGGTTCCAATTCCAGCTCCACCATTTGTGGGATCTATCACTAACCCCGGGTTAGTCATGAAGTCTCAGTTATCTGACCTGACAGAAGTCATCGATGTGTGGGTTCGGGAGGGAGAACCCCGGGGGGGGGCACAGCGCATAAGCACTCCGCACATCGTAAGGGCCAAGTCCGGGCAAAACTGGGCTATTCTTTCCTAATACGTGAATCCTCCAGTAACAGATCCCAGGGAAGATAAGCCTGAATACCTGTGTTTGTAACCCAGAGATGTTAAAGGACTAACATAAAAGCACACAGCCACTAAGGAGGAAGGGACACGTGTGACTTAACTTAGTCCTGTGAACTGAGATCCCCGTAGCATGTGGGAAAACCACGCTGCCTCGCCCTATTAAGATAAACCCCTCTGTGTTACTTGGGAGAATCAAAAGGACATAAAGAGGGAACTTTCTACCCAAAAGCCATTGCTTCGTGCCTATTTCAACCCAATGGGGTTGGTGGTGTCTTCCATAGAGTATCACGTTGGAGATGCAGCTCCCTAGAGAATCATGTCGGGAGCTTTCCCTCTGACGCACACAGGACTCTCACACGCCCATCCCAGCGAGAGGAGAGGGAAAGAGGACAGGCTGGTACAGCTGCTGGGTGCGTGCAAGCTTCGTGGCACCCTGCTCGTACAGCCCCGCTGTGTCTTGTAGAGGCAGAGCAAGACACAGAAAGGAGCCGAGCACAGTCGAGAAATATTTACTTTGCAGAAACATCTGTTGCTGCAAAAGCAGAGCGCCGGCCAGTGTGGAGTGAAGTCGTAACCGTCAGCATCCGGAGGGCCAAGCGTCTGCTTTCCAGAGTAGCTAGGCCAGGCGGGTAAGGGCTATGGAAGCAGCTAGAAGTGTGGGACTCGAGAGATACCCCCAAAGCCATCTGCCCATTCAGGGGCCAGAGGCAAGTGCTCTTTCTTCCCTGAGATGCCGATTCTACTCTGCACACGGTCTAAGAGAATCTAACCCAGCGATGATCCTTCTTTCACTAAAACAGAAGGTTTACCATAACTCTCTTAAAATTGGAATCTACCTTAATTTTAAACAAGTTTGGCCAGTAATACCACAAGTCATTTCCTTTTTCTCCTTGGGTAATACTTAACATACATGTACTCACACACACATGCACACATGTGTACGCCCACATAATGAAGGACTCAGCGTAACCTTATATTTATTTTCAGTGCATCCATTGCCTTTGTGGCCTCCAAAGTTACCAAAATTGTATATTAACTACCCTTGAAGACTGCTGCTGCTCAGTCACATCTTTCTCTCTAGACTTAGAAAGTGATTAGTTAATAAAGACTATTGCTGCAGTAAGAGCAATATATATAACAGGCTGCTTATGGCAAAAGAAAAGCAAAGTCCCAGGCCTTGATCATCTTTCCCTTCTCTGAATACCAGTTACACTGACTCTCTGCCTGACTACCTTGTATTTGGAATCATTCTGGAACTCTTCAAGAATGGCTTCCTGTCATAATGCACAAAGAGTGACCGGGACAGGGCTGGACACAGGGCCCCTCAAAACCTGCCATGCTGATCTGAGGGGGGCACAGCAAGATACGACAGCTTATGGGTGGAGTGTCCTAGAGTCACCAGAGAGGACCCAGAGAGGGACACCAGCCCCCTAGAGACTGCAGGTTTAGTCCACACCCCCATCCCCAGGTAAAACTCAACACACTCAAAACCAAACTCTCTCTGCCCTCCTACCCTCCCCTGAGGCGGCCAGCAAAGGGCCTCCTCCTGCATCCCCAGCACAATGGAGGGCACTGCCACTCACCCGCCACTCAAGTCAACACTGTGTGTCGTGCTTCACACACAGCGGGCTCCTTCATGCGCAATGTCCGTCCCCAAGTCTGTCTGTCCACTTTGCCTCCTAAGCATCGCTCAACTCTGCACACTCCTCCCCATCACGATTATCAACTCCTAAAACCAGATACCCCCATTTGCCTGGATAACTGCAACTGCCTCCTCCCTGGTCTCCCCACACCCCCTTCTGTCCCTCCAGTCGGTTCTCCACCCAACCCTGGCAACACCAGCAGTGAGCCCTGTGATGGCTTCCCGCAGCTGTGGGGACAAAGACCAAAGTCCCTCCTCCCAAGGCCTGAGAGGCCCTGCAGGGTCTGATCTCCCCCACTCCGTCTCCAGGATCCTGCTGCTCTGGCCTCTGCCCATTCCTGGAGCACGCCCTAGTCCTACCTGCCACCAGGTGCCTACTCTTGCCTGCACCCTCAGCCCAAAAGTTCTTTCCTCCAGGAAGCCTTCCTTGACTTCAACCCTATTTTCCACTCCCTGAGTACTATGCACCTTTTCTTCAGAGCAACTTGTGCAAGTCCAGCTGGAGCTTAGTGTAGGTAGGAATGTGCTTACTATTAACATGTAACCACCTCCCCTCATGTTGTCCATTGAGGAAGATTCCAGCAGAGCTGGAGGAAGAGCCACCACCAACCAGCAGGAGCATGAAGAAAAACCTCTATACCAGGGGACCCAGAGAAATGAGCTGCAAACCAGCCAGCTGCCGGCCACCGCCATGTGTCCTCTTTTAGCCCCAGCATAACCCCAGGCCTGGACGGAGTTAAAACAGTTTTAAGGAGAGTCCCTTAAAGGAGATCTTTCTTTTCTCTCTCTCCATACTGGGCAGACTGAGAACAGAACATATCCTTTCAGAAACTGTGCTTGGACAAAGGCATTTCCCCCAAGTCTGCATGTGGCATTTTAAACTTAGTTCAATGTGCTTAACCTATTATAAGGAAGTGATGTTCCCTTGTTAAGTGCCATGCTACAGCCTGAACCCCTGCACGACACCAGCAAAAAGAAAGAGACCCTGTTCAAATCTTACAGCCAAACAAAATTCCCCATAGCATGTCTCATTGCTGCGACGCGTGGTCTTACCTGTGGCCACTAGGTGGCAATCAACCATATCAGAGGAGGTGTGCTAAGACTCAAGGAGAAAGGACAAGGCCAGCCTTCAAGGCAGTGCTGAGGACAGAGCCTGTCCCGTGTACGATGCACCTGCCTGTGAAGGGAACCGTCCTATGGGTGCTGAGCCAGCAACTGGGGAAGGGGCCCTGCCTGCACGTGGGCAGAACTGCCCTGATGCATCCAGAGGCCTGTGCTCTGAGATAGCACACTCAAGCCTGAGATGCAGAGGGGAAGGGGCAAGGAGATGAAGTCGCCGCCTACCTTTCCCGCACACCTTTGCACATCTGGCTCGAAAACCTCTCCTCTCCCAGAGGCAGATGATATGCCCACCAACCAGGCCGGCCGCAGCACGTTACATGGCGTGCATTCCGATTATGCACCTGCTCGCTTTTCCTGAGGCCCTTTCCCTGAAACTGTGTTTCCTAAACGAGGCCAGAGTTAGCATCGACTCTGGAGAATGTGTTTTTCCAATCAGAGCACGAAGGCTAATGAAATTTTCAGAGCTAATTTTGAAATCGAGTGGAACAAAGAAGTGTTACCCTGTCCAAGATGAGGTTTCTAATTCTATTTACAAGGAAACACCCTTCAAGAATAATATAGGGGGCCCAACCCCACCTTAATCTACATCAAAATCGCTATGAATATACTATGAATTCATTTATTGGGTACTTGCTATGTAACATGTACCTACTGAGTACTTCAAATCCTTCCATCCTGACAAGCATCCTGTTGTATTATTACCTCCATTTTGCAGGTGTGGAGACTGAGGCTGAGAGGTTAAATATTCTGCGCCCAAGGTCACACAGCAAATGAGCAGTAGTATAAGAAATCTGGTCTCTCTGACTCCAAAACTCTTAACTACTATACTATACTGCCCAATTCACTCAAATATTTGAGAATCTGGTATCAATGTACTAAAAAAAAAAAAAAGACAAGACTGCACGCAGACATTCCATATCCTTAAAGGGAATATAATTTAGAATCTGTGTAGATGAAACTAATCTGTGTAGATGAAACTATAAATTAAGGTAGAATGTGCTAAGGCAATCAGAGTAGACGAAAATGGCTATAGAAGCACAAGCAGGATTTTATTCCAGCTGGGGCCTTTGGAGGTGGCTTCACGAAAAAAAAGAAGAGCAAGTGGCACTTGGGCTGAGCCTTCAGGTTCGGTACTATGTGGACATGTAGGAAATGGAGGTGGTACAGGGCAGGCAGGCACCTCTGAAAGCTTGAAGTGGAAACAGGTCGCAAAGAGATGCAAAAACAGAGGACTCACCCAGAAAGAGCAAGAAGTTCAGCTAGTGGACAGGAGGCAAGACTAGGAAGAAAGGTTAGAATCAAACCATGGAGGGACTTTAATGTTAAGCTAAGGAATTTGGACTTTATCCCTTAAAGAAAGGGGAGCCAGCTGGGCACCACGGAGACGGGCGCCTGTAGTCCCAGCTATTTTGGAGAATGAGGCAGGGGGATCACTTGAGCCCAGGAGTTCGAATCCAGACAGTGGGGCAACATAGCGAGACCCCCTACATTGCTTTGGGGGAAAAAGGAAAAAAAAGAAAGAAAGAAAGAGGAACAGACTGTTACACAGAGGAGGGAGAAGATCAATCTAAACGTTAATTAAACCTTTTACTAGGGAGCTGGCCTGGAATTTTGTTGTAAGACACCTACTCTGACTCCTCCATGCAACCACAGTCAAGGGGCATCCTCCCTGTAGGATAACTGGATGACAGATGACACTCCTCAGCCTGGACATTTGTCACAGACCACTGGTCAGCCAGGAGATAAAGGGTATAAAATAGGATTCAAAAACACTGCTCCCTATTGAAAACTCCAAGTTCAAGTTCTATTATGAATGACTATTATTCTATTATGAATAACATTATTAGTTATACATAACTATATATAAATGATGTGTACAAATACATTTGTATTTCCAAAGTGCTATATTAGCTTTTCCTCATAAGAACATTGGGAGTTTTAGTGATAGCACTTTTTTTTTTTTCCGGAGACAGGGTCTCCCTCCTTTGCCCGGGCTACAGTGCAATGGCATCATCATAGCTCACTGCAACCTGGACTCAAATGATCCTCCTGCCCTGTCTCCTGAGTAGCTGGGACTACAAGTACACACCACCATCCTCAGTTAATGTTTTCTATTTTTTGTAGAGGCAAGATCTCTCTACGTTAGTCGGGCTGGTCTCTATCTCCTGGCCTCAAGCTATCCTCCTGCCTCAGCCTCCCAAAGTGCTGGTAATACAGGCATGAGCCACGCCACCATACCCACCCAGCACTTGACCCTTTATAGATGAAGAAATTAAGGGCTGGCTTAATGACAGCATGTCACATAGCAGATGCTTAACAAATATTTGCTTAATCAATGACTGTTGTGTCAAGTGATTTAGTCAGCATCAGATCTATGATAAAAATTCAAGCCCTAAATAGCCCATTCCCAAACTTGAACTGCTGGGCCCTGGCACAAGGCAGAAGGACACAGAGAACAAAGGTACCGTATTTAGAACAACCACCTTCACACGCTGCCCCAAGACATGAAAAGGCAGCAGAAGGTCAGCGCAGGAAAAACTCCCTCAAGGAAAACTGTGACGACTGGCTTCCTTAAAACAAAGAAACCCATTTTGAGAGGCACTAATCAAGTGAGGAAGCAAAAAAGAGAGGGTTTTTCCAGGCAGCTCGAGTGCAAATATCACACACAGAGCACGAATCGGGGGCAATATAGAGAGGATGGTGACATGTGCGGTCACTCCAAACTTGGGTTTAAACCCCGGGTCTCTCACTCACTTCCTGGCTGTGTGACTTTGGGCAAATTACTCAGTCTTTCCAAGCATTTCTGTAACTATGAGAATAACAGGCACCTCACAGGGTGGGTGTGGGAATTTAAAATAGGGGGTAAATGTCACGGAAGAGCAGAGCACGAGGGAGCCCGCAGATGCCAATTTGCCTGCCTCCCCAGGAGCAAAAGCCAGTGGAAGTTTACCAGCAGGTCAGGGAGGAGAGAATCAACAAAAGGGGAATCTTAATTAGCATCAGAATTAAGCAATGCTTCCTCATTGAGTCAACAAACTAATCAAATAACCCCATTCTAGAGAATTACTAAAAACCCATTGGAGTCCCTAATGGTTTTTCTCAGATGCTTAGAAAACTCCTAATGCATCTACAAATGCATTAATACAACTTACTTCCACCACCACCCCCAGATGAAAGACAAGGCACAAACCCTGGTGGACTAAATAACACTATTTTTAAAACTGAACTAACTCGAAGCACTATGGGTTTCTTTTTGAGGAGTTTATTAAACTCAAGTGGTGGCTTTAAAATGCACACTGGGGAAAGAGTGTTATCATCAAATCCTTTTTGTCAACTGCCCGGGGAGGCAAGCCAGCCCCGGATGAGACGGATTTAAGAATTCAGTGTGTTAAGGTAACATCCAAGCTACCTGGGTTTACTGGCCTGAAGCTACAGGGTTTACTGGCCCGAAGTGCTGGGCTTCCTGGGAAGGTGGTCCTTGGGCTTTGTCCCTAAGGTAGGCACATTTTTAGAAGGGAGGTGGCATGAAGAGGAGACCACACAAATCAGACTAAAGGTTCTGCAGGGAGAGCAGGTCAGACCCCGGCTGGGAAGACCAGAAGGGGCCAGATGGGCGGAGCTAGAGGGTGGGCTGAGGACAGGTAAGTGTTCCTCTCTCTCAACACCAAACAGGAGAGCAGATGGGAGGAGCATCCTGACATGAGCCTCAAGACTTAGATTTTGCTTCTGGAAAGCCCTCCCCTCTGCAGCTGACCTTCTCGAGCTTTAAGGTGCACCCAATCACCTGGGGATCTTGTCGAAAGGCCGGTTCTGATCCAGCAGGCCTGGGGTCCTGAGGGGCTGTGATTCTAACAAAGTCCCAGGTGGTGCCCATGATGCTGGTCCAGGCACCACGCTCTCCAAGGCAAGGGTCTGGACCCCCACTCAAGACCCCGAGAGCAAAGATCACCGCTGCTTTCTCCTTCCAGCACAGTGCCTGGAACAAACAGGACCCCAGTACATATTGGAGAAATGAATGAATGAATTCCTGGAGAGCACTGAAATTGCTGCAGACAAAAACAGGATAAAACCTACAATAAGAACCATAAACGGGCGGCCTCCTTACACAGTCATCAACTATGCATGTGAACCTAGGGAAAGTTACTCGTCAGAAGTCATTTGAAAACCAGGGGGCTAAGCCAGTTGACCTTTAAGGTCCCTTCTAGCTCTAAGATTCCTCCCAAAGTACCTTTTCTGGGCCTTTTATTTATTTTTAGTGGGGAAGTTTATATACTGGATATTCCTACAGGAAGGCACACCTCTATGTCATTCTCCGAGAGCAGGTTCCAAAACTCCAATTGAGAGAACACAGGCTCTGTTAGTCTCAGCAAATAACCATAGCAACTAATACCCCCCAAATGAAATGATGCCTTCACAATGATGTGCTGGCTCAATCAGATTAAGAGGGTGACGTGTACCATCTGAAAATTTATGGTCGTAAACTTACAGCAAAAGCCAGACCTTGCTGGAAGAGGTTTATAAGAAAGGTCTTGCCAATAAATCGAAGAAGGGACAAAGAGCCAGAAAAATCAAGTAGATGAGTAACTCGGGCAGGACGGCTCTCCCTGTCCCAAGTCCACACAGGCAGGGCCCAAGCACCCAGATATGAATCTGTAACTTGGTAAAACTCTTACAAATCCAAATCTGAGCATGATCACTTCTATCAAGCAACTGCCATTTTATCCTCTTTGTTTGCCTGTGTTCATGCACTTTACAAAAGGAAAATGAGCACTGCTAGCTCAGAAGATCTTCGCAGAACGATCTGCCAAAATAATTGTAAATGAAAAAGAAGACAACTGCACAATCGTACTTATTACGGGTGACAATGAACTTCCAACCACATTAATTTCCCCACAGGTCATCACAGATGCCGATCTTTCTGTTCCCAGGTCTTTAGATTGGAGTTGGAATCGTGAATGAAAAACTCCGCATCTGTAAGTACTACACTACTGTTGTCTTTCCACGCCCTCAGGCCCACCTCTTCCGGGGTCCGGACCATCCCATTTGCACTGAACAAATTTGGGCAAGCAAGAACCTCACTTGAAAAGCAGGAACAGAGAAGCCAAGGCCAGTCACCTTCCTGTAACCCCTGAGCCTTTTCTAGCGAAGAACAAAAGGAAAGAAGAACCACAAACCAACGAAAAGCCCAGCCCCAAGAACCGGGGCTTACCTGGCATTCAACAGTCCTGAACTCAGAAAGTCACAGACAGATGGCAGAACCCGGGGACATACACACACAGTCAGCCACACCTCTGGCTGTTCTCACCAACAGCTAAGATCAAGTTGAGGGTAGTGAAGGGGAAAACAGGGTGCGGTGAGTAAACCGAGGCCTCCGACTAGCCAGATAGCTCAGACGTGTGGTTAGCAGACTCCCAGGATTCAAAATCTCATCTCACCCACTTACAAGGCTCCTGCACTCAGTTTCCACTGGTGTGAAAATGAGCTAAGAGGAAACCCGCCTCCTGAGGTCGCGGTAAGAAAAGACATGATGCAGAAGTGCTTAGCACAGGGCCTGGTACTTGACAAACCAGAGGTATTATTATTTATATTTATATATGTAATAAATAAG